TTTTTTTTTTAATAAAATGCAAGAAAAGGAAATATTAGAACCCATTCGGCTATTGTTACAGATTAGAAGATATATCCACAATTTAACTTTTATTAATTAATTATTCCTGAAGTATAGGACGGGTTAGTTATAATAACATTTCATTTTACAATGTTATACATATATATAAAGATAGATAGAAGCTAATTTGATAAGTAATTCGTTCTTTCTTTCTTTTTTAAATTCTTTGGGCCATCTTAATTTTTTTTCCATTACATTACAATTTTATATAACAGTAACAACAAGAATCCGCATAAATATATATATACACATAATATATCATTTCAAATCTTCCTTCAATTATAGAAAGGAAAATTAAATTACAAACAAACAGATTAAGTAACATCACGGTAATAAACCGTCAATCGACTTCTTCAACTTTTTCATTTTAGTTTTTTACTCAAATTTAAAATTTAAATCGTTACGTTAACAGAAATAACCTAATATAGAAACTTGCCACGTAAAGACCGTTGCATTGCCTTCATTCAACACCTCTCTTACAATGCCTTTCCAAAATATTGAGAATTTCTCCTTATCTGAAAATGAAATGATGAATCAAATATCATTAGATTCTCCAATCAATTACCTAAATTCATACAATCTCAACAACAACAATATTAATTTACAACAAGACATTATAAACAACGAAAATGACCCAGAATATAGTAATTTTCATAACCTGAATAATACCGACGATTTTGAATTGACAAATTCAGTTAACATGTTTTCCAATATTTTCACGGGAGTCGCAGCCATGACTTGTAATATTAATGAAGATAATAACCAATTGGACAATTCTATCTCCCCTTCTTCGTTTTCTTCTGTTTCTTCAGAATCTTTATCTTCTTTAATTGACGGCGATCGTAACGATAACAATGCGTCTCCTATCTCCGAAGAAAATGATCTCGTGACCAGTGGTAAAAATAAAATTCTGACGTCATCAAAAAATGCTACCACTACAACAACAATTTTCAATGACGTGAACAATAATTCAAAGATTACAATCGAATTTCCTCAAGTATACGAAGAGAATTCCATAAATGATTTTTTGACTCCAGTGTCATCAATTACTATGTCGTACGATGATTTATTGTCTCAGAATAATTTGATATTTTCTACTGCAATCTCAACCAACAGTGACACGACTTCTACTGCTACTGAAAAGAAGCAAGATAAGGTTAGGGCAAAGGTCAAGAAATCAAAGAAAACTGTTTCGAAAAAGAAATTGAAGAAATGTGTTCATAGTCATACAATTGCTAGTATAACAAACAATTTGAAAAAAGTGTCTGATTCAAGACTTTCAGCTCAGGGTCTTGCTCAAGTGTTACATCTAGACTCTTCAGAAGAGGCTCTACAACGAGAAAAATATATTCTTCATATATTTGAACACGAGTTACACTACCCATTGGGCTACAAAACATGGATCAGAGATACTGACAAAGCTGAAAGAATTGATTTGATCAACGATTTATATGATAGAGTAAAATTTAGATACCCAGATTATAACCCTGAAATTTTGGAAACAATCATTAGGAGGGCGACTTATTATATGATGCAAAGTAGGTTGAGGAGGGAGAGGAGAGCCAAATGCAAGAATAAGGACCAAAACGAATGAACAATATTAATTGAATTTTTTTTTTATTTGTTTGTTTTGTTATTTATATACCAACACCTTAGTCGTACTGGACACGTCAAACTTCTTATATATTCCCTCTCATTCATGCATTTATTAACTTTACTAATCATATCATTTTATTTATTTGTTTTAATTAATTTGTGATAATCGCGTTACCATTGGTTACACTTATTAACCATTGATTCATATATACATATAATGAATCTCAACGAAGATGATCATTATTTAATCGTTAAGACAGTTTACTATCGCGACATAAATTTATACATCATATATAAACACTATAAAAATAAATGAACTGGCTCCAATATACTTAAAATAGCAAAACCTTGTTTCTTGTTTATATTGACATAAAAAAGTAAATGAAGAACAATGCCAAACGTTAATCTACCTTTAAAATTAGATTGAATTTTTAAAAATTATAATTATAACCTGTATTTTCCTTACATAAAAGAATAAAAATAATAATATATAAAAGGAAAAGTTTATTCAACGATAAGCAAATAAACCTTTAGAAATGCTTAAGGAAAAACTTGGAATTATCTATATTTTCTGTATAGATTTGGAAATGACAAAAAAACAACACACACACACGAAAACAGTTATTCAAATAAAGGATTATTTTAATGTTAAAATAATTTACATCAGTTGAAATAATTTACATCAGTTCAATTAAACTGTATAGAAAAGTTCAAAACTCCACAAATAAATATCTCCTCTTAATATGCCATAGTAATATCAATGCAAATGTCTAAAATTTAGTGAACGAGCCTCTCTTTTTGGCCCTTCTTAATTTCTTGTTCTTTTTATAAACATGATGATTAGCATCTCTCCAACCAGAGGTACTTACTTTCTTTGACTCTTCCTTCTTTGGTGTAGGAAGGTCGTCGACATCCATAGTACTTGCCGCTTCAGGATTTTTCTCCTTCAACTCTTTCAATTTTTGTTCAATTAAATCCTTCTTTAGTTTATCTGCTATCCTGCTCTCACGAGCATCGACTACTTTTTGAAAAACAGCCTTACGCTTAATAGCTTTGGCATTTAAATGACTGGATGCACGAAGAGATTTAGCCATATTTGATATCGATTATATTAGATAATATTTGATGGTTTACAAACGAACATAAAAGTGCAATATACAAAATCAAATTAAGATAATTTAGAAGTATTTTTAAGTTCATGACCTTTTAAATTAAATAATCATATCAGCAGAATACCGCTTACAAAAAACAACTCATCGAAAAATTTTCATCATTCCTTTGGGACAGAAAAAATTGACGAAGTTTATAATATTGGAACATCACAAAAGAATAATTCAATTTTGTGAGACTGCTTTACCATCCGTGCATCTTTTAAACCATCTGTACATTTTGTCCAGAAAAAAATGTAGTTTTTAGATTTCTTGCTTTTTCAACAAATTTTATTTTCATTTTTTTCCAACTTTTTTATTTGTACGCTTGTCTTTTGGACAACTGAAAAATTATGGATGAAATGTACTCACATCATCTCAAATGCCCCACACATTCATCTGTGAACTCAAGATGCTCTGATTTGTTTCTTGTGGAAATGGGGGTCACCCGCACATTGAATTTTTTTTTTTCGAAATTGGATGTAGTTGTACAGTGAAACGATGGTAATACTCATTAATACTTTCACAAAGTATCTTCTCCAATTTGTCTTCTCTGAACCTGTAAGCACCAATATTCTTACAATATGCTAGTGTCTATCACTAAGCTACACACTATTCGAATACCAACTAATACATCAAGTAATTGATTCGTGATTCTTGAGTCCCTTTTTAAGAAGACATATTTTTTTTTAAGTAGAAGTCAAAAATTGTTATAAGAAACCGAGAAACTGATAAAGGATTAAGAAATGGCTAACCTACGTACTCAAAAGAGACTTGCTGCTTCCGTCATTGGTGTCGGTAAGAGAAAGGTCTGGTTAGATCCAAATGAAACTTCTGAAATTGCTGAAGCTAACTCCAGACATGCTATCAGAAGATTAGTTAAGAACGGTACTATCGTCAGAAAGGCTGTCACTGTCCACTCCAAGTCCAGAACTAGAGCTTACACTCTAGCCAAGAGAGCTGGTCGTCACACCGGTTACGGTAAGAGAAAGGGTACTGCTGAAGCTCGTTTACCATCTCAAGTCGTTTGGATCAGAAGACTAAGAGTTCTAAGAAGACTTTTATCTAAGTACAGAGATGCTGGTAAGATCGACAAGCACCTATACCACGTTCTATACAAGGAAGCTAAGGGTAATGCTTTCAAGCACAAGAGAGCTCTAGTTGAACATATCATTCAAGCCAAGGCTGACACTCAACGTGAAAAGGCTCTATCTACCGAAGCTGATGCTAGAAGAACCAAGAACAGAGCTGCTAGAGAAAGAAGAGCTCAAAGAGTCGCTGAAAAGAGAGAAGCCATTTTGAATGAAGCTAACTAAATATAATTGATTGATTAATTAATTTTTAATATCTATCTGCTGTATTTTTTTATCATGTTTTTAAAAGAACAATTTCATTTCTTAATAGTAGGTGTTCTTTAATAGGGCACCTCATATCCCTCATCTAATTCATTCTAGTGTTACTTACTCCTACTGTATTTTAAATATACATTAATATTATATAAATATAATATACTATAATATACTATAATTTTGACGTAATGTGTAGTTGAACTATTCACAAGGACCGAAAACGGAACGCCTTGCTTCCCTTTTATTCTAATCAGCGATCTGGCGGGACATAAAATCTTGACAGAGTATATTAGCCCTTAAAATGCACTCAGACAAATAAAATAGAACAGATTATTTCAGTATTTTATTAACTATACTTAAAAGGGACTGATGAAAACATGCATCTCTTATCTAACTCGAATGTATTTTGGCGTTTAAAAGTTAAAACCATTTTATACAAACTCTACAACTACTAATTATCAATGACAAATAAATAATTATTTTAAATATAGATATTTTTATTGGAAGTCAGTAATGACAAATGACTAGAATATTAATGCAGGATATATATAATTTCAGGATATCATCTATTCGATATTTCGCTATAGTTTTAAATTATAATGTAGCTGGGAAAGCCACATTACCATTATAACATGGTGTCGAGCAGGAAACTATGAAAGTTCATTTTCTGGTAATTTTTACTTTAATTTTCAAAATAAAGAAATTTTCAAAACATTGAAAGCAATCATACCTTTTAACAAACGTACAGTAGAAATAGTTTATAATAATTTGTGATGATATATGTAACTTCCCTCAGTAGAAAAAAAGAAAAAGATATATATATATCACATAGTGTTACATTATTTTGGATGAATACCAGGTAAAGATTCTGAGTTTCCTTCTTTTGACGGTACTTGGCTTGGAATATTTTGCGAATAATAAGGATAAGTCGGTAGCATTACCATTTGTTGTTTTATTGGAATATTTGATGAATTATGCTGAATCGGGGAGTTTTGATACAGGTATGGTGCAGTATGTACCATCTGATTATTATTAGTCAATGATACTTCTGATCGTACTGATGGTTCATGAAATGATGCCATTGGTTTCGTACCTTGTTCCTCATGAGGATGCTCTGAGAATTTACCCGTATTTAAAGTTGTGATAGAAGGGTTCGTCATTGGTGTTGAATTTGAAACATCATTGGAGTTCACAGCATTTTGGTTATTCGCAGTGTTACTAGCAGAATTATAATCCTTATTTTGAACTACCGAATAATTGGAACCTCTAATATCATTTGGATACATTGCATTGTATTGACCTGTCGTGTTCCCGATAAATGTATTAGACTGAACTAGATGTGGTAATTTTATACGGTCAGCTTCACTATACATAGGAACAGGTTGAATATACGCTGGAGGTATTTGCTTATCAATATTTGTAAACTGTTGATTAACAGGAAGTTGAGGAGTCAAAGAAGCTGTTGAACTGGAATACTGTGATGGATAGCCTATTGGTGGGGCATCCAGATTATCATCCTTAAAATCTGATTGATATCTAGGCTGAACGCCTGGGTACCAGTTCCGATAAGCACCTGCCATTTGCCCAGTACGATTATCATGATACGGCTGTTTATATCTTTCTTCCATTTGTTCCACTGGTGCGTTATAATATTCGGGATATGCTCTCTGAATACCAATCACTTTATTAGAATTATCATTACTGCTGTATCGTATTACTGTATCATTTTGCTGCATGCTATAATTCTCAACAGGTGTGTATCTTAGAGGCCCTCCCTGAGAAAACGCCGCATGCTGCTGATCTACATATGGATTTACATTGCCAGCATATTGGTACCTTGGGATCCCGTGGGCATTTGAATCTGCCATATGTGGATCTATTAGAGTAGGTGCCATGTTATTGTAATTGTTGCCATACGACGAATTCCTACTATACGGTTGAGGATAAAGTTTGGTAACATTTGGGTTAGTACTAGCATATGGATTTTTCGGGCCGTTGTGAATTGTGGTATCCTTTAAGAGTGTATCAATTATTACTTCAAATGTTGAATAAAAAATTTCCAATGATTCTTTATTTTGTTCTGCTCCCTTTTCAATTAGATTTAAAATTTCTGTATCTATTGATGTTAATCTCATATTACTTGATGCCTTACTTAGGATCGATTTTTTCCAAACTTGAATATGAGATGATATTTGTTTCTTCGTTCTGACCTCACCGGTTTCATATCTGATATATAATGAGATCAATTCATTCCTACCATAATTTTTGTTACGGATCTTTATCTTTGATGTTCCACTTTTCATTATTAATCGTAATGCAGTCGTGAACGCCTTCTCTACTTTATGTGGCCATTTATCGTGCCCATACAAAAATGGAAACATCGTCTGCTCATGTTCTGTCGGTGGAACATTTATTCTTGCAATGGGTTGGGCAGGATAGTTCATGATAGGTTTCTCAGAACTGCTTGTATCAAGCGATAATATTGCTGTATTTTCCTGATATTGTTTATTATTAATTTCCATTTTATTTAGATTATGGGATGCCGGTAATACGATTGCTGGTAATATAGTAGATAATGCACGTATTGGTTAAAGAACCTTATAATATAATTACTTTTAGTTTTGATCCGTTTACTTTTTATATTTTATATTGATAAAAGAATAGACGGGGATACAGGACTATCGTGTCTTCTCTATAAATATTGGTATGATATTATTTATCTTTAGGATGATGTTGTAGTTAATTTTTGAGTAGTTATGAGCAATATGAGTAGGTTGTCCGATTAATGAACAAAAACACCTTTTTATCCGCTCCTCTTCAGGTATTAAACTAGTTTGGTTATTAGTGTGTATAATATTAAAAATGTGGTTCTTGAGGTAAACAAATATAGGGTAGTATCAACTCCCTCCAATTAGTGATAAGGACCTTTCCTAATAATATGTAGAACTTTCTAATGTTTGCTTGTTTTTTATTAATTAAACATATATTGGAAGATTATCCAAATTGTAATAACAAGTTAATAAATATCAACAACAATAACAACTTGAATTGATATAAATAGCTTGTTTTTATTCTTAGGAGACTAGAGACCAAAAATCTTTTGGACTAACATATATATGATAGGTATATAAATGTACTTTTAAAATGTATACATTGTTCGAAATACGAAAACTTAAATATTTATTATGATTAAGAAATAAGTGAATTTTCAGAGCCAGGATTTCGATATTGTTACCAAGAGTTGGAAGAGAGAACAAGTATTGTTGCACAAATTTAAATAAGGTTCCCTCCCACCTCTTCCAATGGTTAGCACGTAGTTTTCGAAGAAAGTACGCACAAAATTGGTCGTAAGGAAGCAAAGGGAAACAATAAGTAAAAAGCACTTTAACTTTTGATAAACTCCAGGAAGAATAAATAATGAGATATCGCTCGAGCTACATATGTTTGTTAAAGTTGCATCGTAATTGTACCGTTTACAAGGAGAGCAAAGTAAAAAACACAAGACATAGAAGGCTTAATGTACAAACATGATATTAACCAGAAAAAACAAATCAACAAAATAGAAATTCAAGGAAAAAAGGAAGAATTTATTTTCGAATATTTCAAACTTTAAAAATATAATGGCTTAATTATGCTGATATTCGATAATTACATCGTACAAATTCCAAATTTATAATAAAACAGCGAAGAAAGACACACAAAATCTTGTGGAATGTGATCACTCAGACCACTACTGAGGACCCCAAGTGTATTGTTTGAAGGTTTCTTCTAAATTTTCAAGAAAAAAATTAAAGTTTATTTTTCTCTATTGTTCCTTGAAAGGTTATTTTAAAAAGTTTAAGTTTTTTAACGGAAATACAATAACAATGGTCTTATCCCACGGACATTTTCTAGAAAATTTTCATTATGGGATGTACGGCTCTGTGGATAAAAAGTTAACGATACATCCACAGAAGGAGATCACATAATTGCTACTTAGTTTGTTAATTAAATATAGAGTTCCCTCCCACTACCTATCTAAAGAATTCATAAAATGATATATCCTATATAAATATATATATTTTACTTTACGTTCACCGGTTGTAACTGACGGCCTACGAATATTATAGTTACTTCGACAATCATTGTGTATGTATATAGATAGAACTCACAACAAAGATGTACCATTTTTTATTTAATTATTTTAGGCTTTTTTTCTTTTTTTTAATTCGTCTTATAATCACCTTTCTTTTTCGTAATGCAATGCCATTCTTTTTACTTACGAACGTGCTATTGTCTTATTCCACTTTCTACATACTTCAACCTCTTCTATTTTTCAATTCATATTGTCGGTACACGTTGTTTATTATTGCACTACGACAACAAATACTTCTAAATAATACTATTTACGTGACCTTAAAAGTTATGTTGTGATAACAATAACTATACACCGTTTAAAGTTATTTTAAAATATATATTCCTATTCTATAGATTTCATTGGTATGATGATATAGTTGAATAAGAAAATAATTAAAAATTAATCTTTGCACACTGTCCTTATCGTAGTGATATCCATTCTATTAAAGAAAGACTATATGGTAAGATCTTTATTAGAAATATTTAATAATAATAATGTAACTTTTAAAAAATGTAGAACCAGGGACAATTATAAATATTTGTAGATGACAGTTAATGCTTATAGTACGTACTATATTAATCTATTATCTGAATTTAGAAAGAAAGAAAAAACTAATATTATAGATCTATCTGTGTGATATTGTTAGAATTTTTGCCTTGCTATCAGTTTCAGAAGTATTTTGTTATTTCCAAAACATAGTATCTTCTCATCCTATCGTACCTTTTCTTACATTGATTGTTTTTAAAACGATTTTCCAACGTTATTGTTTTACTTTGTTTACAACTAATCCTAATAAAAGAGGTAAAACTTACACTTCTTTATACTAATAAGTTTATATGAAAACTGAACGTAATGACCTTGTAATGTATCACTACTAATGATATACAGATTGCGTACAAATAAACTATTTCTTTTTTGTTTGATTCCACTATCATTTTAATGATTTTTTTATCGTAATTTCTTGTGTTAATTTTTAATTTAATTCCCCCCCCCCAGAATTAATAGTATATCGGAGTTAGAGATTATGCACTTCTAAATTATACTTTGCAAAAGTAATTTGTTTTAACCATTTTTTCGAATTACACTAAATAAGAAAACAATCATACGATTTATATCTTTTTAAAGGAAAAATAAAATAAAAAAACTACTTGCTTCCTGAACTAGCTGCAACATATCCAAGAAGGAATATTAAAACGTTTTATTATCCCTAGTGAACCTATATTCGCAGAATAAAATATATATTTACACAATAGAATAGACAAGTGAACTAATATTTTGTGCGAAGAATATCTAAGATTACCAAACTTTTCATTATTTTATTTTGTGAACCAAAGTAAAAATTTTCTCCTGAGTTATTGTTATATTGTTCTATTTTTTTTCCCTTCAAGGTTTTAAAATTAATAGAGTATAATAGTTAAACAAAGAGGAGTCCAATTAATTTTTGTTCATTTTACTGAATATAATAAAGATAGGAACGTCACTTTTAACTATATTATTAGCTTTCAGTTACTATTACGATTCAGTTGAAATGTGTTTGTGTAAGAAAATAGAAATACATATTATGTACTAGCTTATAACAACGATCTTGTGCACAACTAAACAGTATATGAATATAATATGCACTCTATTATGATTTAATAGATAACAAAATATTATTTTCTTTTTTATTTTATTCATACTGCTATGAAATTAGTTTTATATATAAATGCACGTAAATAACTATTTTGTTTTTTTGAACGCTGCATCCCGGTTTGCCATTTAAATTTAATTGCTGACATCTTGATCGTTACTAATACTTCTAGAGCTGAAATTGTACTGATGGAACATGTAAGAGGATTCTCAAAATTATAAAGTAAACTTTAAGTTTTAAAAAAAATAGGGCATGATCTTCAACTTCAATGGAAGGAGGTCACAAAAGTTGTGTATTTTGGTGCACCGTTCAAATAAGAACAAATTAAAGAATTCAATTTTGTCGAAACATTTTTCTAAAGGAATAAGAGACAAGTTTCCTTCATGTCTACGCAAGTGGCTTCATACATACATACATACATATATATCTTTCTTATTCGATCTGTGCGCTGTGTAGTTCCCACCCCATAAATTATACTTTTATTTTTGTGTGTCGATATTCCTCTCTTTGTTAGAGATTTCTCGAGATTTCTTTTCTTTCATCTTATTTTGGTATTTGTAAATGTTCTCCGAACTTTATTAAAAGTTTCTATGTCACGGTTGTAAACATTAGTAATCGAAAGAACTGCCACCCTGAAACATTGTAGCACATATTATATTCCCTTATTCAGCTTTCTGAATGTCTAATACTTATGTAGTTAAAGTAGAAATTTTTTTTAATAAAAAGATAAAAAAAAAATGTATTTTTTGTTTTGTTTTCAGGTATGTGATTTTCCCACAGTGGTCTTATATGTTATGATTCATTTTTGAGATTTAGTCAGCTAGTTAAACACGATACAGCCCAAATAAAATACATTTAAATATTTCAAGATAGGTCAGGGAGATGACCCGGCTAGAATACACTTCTGTAGCAGAAGTTTCTCCACCCTTGAAATGATACATTAAAAATGTAGGTAGGAAAATATAATATTTCGATCTCTCTCTCTATATATATTTCTATATATTCCGATCTGTGCGATATGTTCGTTCCACATGATTTGAGGGGTCGAGATCACATGACATATTCGTGTTTTGTGATACTGTTGCAGTCATTTCTCACGGCTATGTTAACAAACAAATTTTGCACCAAAAAAACATGAAAATTTTCTGGAATTTTCGATCGCAAGAAAGACGAAAAAAATGAATTAAATTTTGTCGATTCATAATTTGTATGTCGAGATGGGGTTCCTGTATAACCTCTGTGGGTTTCCTTGGCTAAAGCGGCATATATAGATGAGAGAGCGAGTGAGCGAGAGACCAAGAGGGATTAGCTGTAAGTCAGAATCTTTCTCTGTGTGCCAAATTTTATCATTATTATTATTATTGCTTTTATTATTGTGAATTTGTCAGAAATGAGAAACTGCAAAATAATGTAACAAAGACAGTTTGATTTTTGAAATCATGGAAAGCTTGGAATAAGTATAATCTCTTTATTTATTTTTTAGATTATTTAACATATATTGAGTAAATGATCTATTAGATCATATTTTCTGTGGAAATATTTTTAAAAGCATTCCTTTTAATAATTCTTGTATTAATATTTGTTCAATACATAGGACTAAGAAAGCAGACAAGCACTATTTTATTTACTCTGTATAATGTCTACTAAACGTATCTCCAAAGAACTTCGTGATATAGAGAGAGATCCACCAACCTCATGTTCTGCAGGCCCCGTTGGTGACGATCTATACCACTGGCAAGCATCCATTATGGGTCCTCCAGATTCTCCATACGCTGGTGGTGTTTTCTTCTTATCTATTCATTTCCCAACCGATTACCCTTTCAAACCACCAAAGATTGCATTCACTACAAAGATTTATCATCCAAATATTAATGCTAACGGTAACATTTGTCTAGATATATTGAAGGATCAATGGTCTCCAGCCTTAACTCTGTCTAAAGTCTTACTATCCATTTGTTCTTTATTGACCGATGCTAACCCTGATGATCCTTTAGTTCCAGAAATTGCTCACATTTATAAGACTGATAGACCAAAATATGAAACTACCGCAAGAGAATGGACAAAGAAATATGCTGTATAAGAGAATTTAGTAGAAAAAAAGGAAGAAGCAAAAAAATTTATAAAAATATTATAACGTGAACTATTCTTCTTTTTATCTGCTTATCCTCTATCTCTTATTTCTAGTCACAACAACAACTCACTGTCACTGCAAATAAAAAAGATACTTAAAAACGAATGCGTATGAAAGATGTTAAAGATATGAACAAATAATTATATTTCCATTATCAACGTTCATTTAATGGTATTACATTATAGTTTTTTTCTCTTCTGTATTATGTTTTCGTTTTCGTTTTTGTTTGCAGCAAAAGAAAAACATCATTACTATTTTAATCAGTAGTAAATCTTTCATATGTAACATTAATATATACATATTATCATATATATACGTTTATATTAATTACGATCATCGATAATAATATGCAAAGAAACAAAATACAACAAAATATGTAATTAAATATTTATGTATTCATCTCTATATATATTTAAATTTATAACTCATCATGTTCAGTAGTTTGTTTCTCATTAACAATAGCTTCCTCAACATGTGCAGTATTGAATGCGGTCACTATTTCTGTCTCCTGTGAATAATTATCATTATTATCATCATCATCACTAGATTTGTTTGCCTTCTCAGAGGAACCGGGGAGATTATCTTCCGATATGACATGTGTTTCGTAAACTATTTGAGTACGAGTCTCTGTATCTGGAATTTTACCTAATGGTAATATGTCATCAGAATTTGACGATTTGTTATTTTCTACCTCTTCAAATAATTCATCCGTTTCATCCGAATTCGAATATTCAAATAAGACTGTATCATCAAACCTAGCTGATTGAAGTTCAAAATCCTCCAATCCAAGTTGTCCCACAATTGGTTTCAATTCATCAGAGTTTAGAATTACATCTAATAATCTTTCTCTGTCCTGATCGTTCAAAAGCTCAAAATTTGCATCTGAATTTAATGCTTCCAAAGCTAGTACCTTTCTGTCACCTTGACGGCTTGCAGTAATCCTTACATCTTTATTATTAGCTAGTTTCAAAACAACACTAATAGACGATTCGTCATCCCTAGAATTATCGTCTTCTTCATGTTTGTAATTATCAGAGACACTACCAGATGCTTCATTCTGGAACAAATGAGCTAGATTTTGTGTTTTGCTCTGATAGGAAACAAAATTGCTTGGTTCTGTGAATAATAGATCATTATCGAGATGCAACTCTGCCTTCCCAAGCTCCGAAACATGAATCGATAATTTCGAAATCACAGTACCTGTGATGTCAAATATTTCAGTCATCCACGTAAATATATCTCCATTAACTACAGGGTTACCATTAGGCGAAACCAACATTTTTTGATTAATCATTCTGTTGAAGGCTTTCCCAAATCTATCAAATATTTCCTTCGGTATTTCATTAGTAAGATCATCGCTAGTATACATTAAAGTATCTCTTTTATTCTCATCTAATGATTCAAGGAAGTATATGCCGTACCCTAGAAAGGTTGGATCATATTCTGCCAATAAATCAATAATATTTTTATCAGTTTTCCCATATTGGTCATCATATCTGACGCACTTTAAATGATTGGCGGTTTTTTTATCCTCATTTTTCGATAATAGTTCTAAATCACATAATTCAGGTACTGATATTTGCATCTCATATTGACATATCTTGGTTTCTCTTATCCATTGAATTGTAGCAATACCATGCGTCTCCCCACACACATATTGAACTTCGACTAATCTATGGGCACCTGTGACATCACAAATATCACCCATACCAACAAATTCACTCACATAATAACCCAATTCGTTATACAATAGTTGGAAGTCACGATCCTTAATATCTGGTTTAGATTTACCTAAAGTGTATAATAATGTTTGAGGGTCCGAACTATCATTATGTAACTGTACTATATCATTACCAGGACAGTATCTATAAGTCCAAAACCCGTTGTTGTAAATAATGCAATATCCATCGAGGACTTCTGAGAGAACATTAACAGCGTTGTCTAGGGTATTATGTAGCAAATCTTGTAAGGTTTTAGAGTTCTGATCTATTTCCTCTAAATCTGGGTTCTTCCTTTTATCTTCTATGAAGCAGAGCGTATCTTCTCCGAACTCTAGAAAAGATCCATTGTTAATATTTAAACGAGTATCAGGAAATATAGAGTCCCACCTACAAGGAGACATATAATCTATCGTATATTTATCGATGGCATTAGGGTCCTCATTGGGTGCTAATAAATTAGCTGACACATATTGCGATATATACAGGATTAATAAGTAGAGACAAAACAGCATTTCCTCTTATTCATATATGTGATTCAATTATCCGTCTGAATGACTTTGAAGTTTATATGATTTAGTTTAATGGTATACTTCTCCTAAATGAGTCTGTTATAAAATTCTTTATTATTAATTCTAATTGCTGTCCTTAATAATTTAAGAAAAAAGGTCTATTACGTGCATTCATCACACAACTAATCCGTCGCCCATATGGAAAATATAATTTTTAGATATTCGAAGAAAACTGAAAAGAACAAAATGAGATAAACAGACTCAACCAATTTTAAGAGAGACTTCATGGATGGAAACGCAGAAAATAACATATTAGATAGAGGTCAAATACTTAACCAACTTATACTAATAAGAAAACACTCACATACCACTGTGATATAGCTAAGGTCCCATTTTTAATATCTTAAAAGGCTAATAATCACAATGTTCAAATCAGTTGCACTTGTTGGTGCATTAGCACAGGTTTGTCTCTCTCAAGAATTTTCTTTACATGCTCGAACTTTGGATGGCCAATCTAAACACAGCCTAGGGATATTTAATTACGACAGTGATACGCATCAGATAACTCCTCTGGTAGCTCCACCAGTGGTCGAAGATAGCATCAGACAAGATGTGCCATATTGTATTGATGCAGATTCGAAAGATCCACAATTACAACAATCTTGTTTCACTTTGATGGAATTAGAGACTATATTACATTATAACTTAGTTTTAAGTGTGGATACAGATACTAATGACATCCAGAAATTTTCTTTGATACGGAATGAAAATGCTACGACTATTGAACCCATTGTGCAAGATCCTGCCATGGCGCCAGTGGCGCCTGCTGTTTTATTGAAGAAGAAAACTAAGACCTATGCAGACAAGAAAAAGGATACTGCTCAAGGTGCAGAACAATTCAGTAAAGCCACTGAGAAATCTGAGGAAGAAGAGGACGACAGAAATTATCTACAGAAAAATTGGAAACAATTAGTAATTGGTTTGGTCATTTATAATGTTGTTACTAGTATAATGAAACCTAAAAATGAAAAGAAAGAGTGAAAATAACTAGGTAATAGATAAATAGATAAGTAAATAATAATCGATAACTTTTATAAATAAAATAGATAAGTGACAAGTTTTTATATTATTGAGAATATAATTTATTAAAATTAATTTTTATAATGATTTGATGCAAAGTAGTGTATATAAAGGAGTAGTGGTAGTATACAAAATAGTAAGAGTTATACACTCAGAACGAGCACACATGTACCCATTTTAAATAATAATGAGATGTACAGAGAGAGGGATAGTACTACTCTAAACTAAGGAATAATATTCATATTTTTGAAAAAAAAGAATGAGAGTTCATGAAAATATGTGAATGAAAGTGAATGATCAAACTCTATTCTTATTCATAATATGAATGAGTAAAAAGAAATAACCAGAAAGATTAAACATAAAAACGATTAACTTATAACAATGTCTTTTTTTCTATCTATAACAAAGCAGATAGGACAGCAGTGAATAGACCGAAAAGGGAAGCTTGTGGGATGACATAAGCCATACCAGCAGCACCCTTGGACTTGGAGGTCTTCGAAGAAGAGCTAGATGAAGCAGAGCTAGAGGAGTCATCATTGGAAGAGGAAGAGGTACTCTTTGAAGATCCAGATTTAGTAGAAGATGCAGAAGATGAAACAGAAGAAGAAGAGGAAGAAGAGACAGCACCATTCTTACAGATGAAGTTGTCACCTTGAATAGCACCTTTACTTTGCAATTTCTTTAAAGCATCACAGGAGAAGTTAGAACCAGAAGTTTCGATATCAGCACCACCTCTGACAGATTTCAAAGAAGAAAGATCTAGAGAAGTGAAGTTACCGATAACATTCAAAGCACCCCCAATGGTTGAGACTTTACTGAAAGTGTCAATGGTCTTTAAGTTAGTGTTGTTAGCAACGACAAACCCACCACCGATAGTGGTCAAGTTCTTGAAAGAGACACTGTCTAGATCGTCATTAGAAGTGATGGTGAAAGTTTGGCCAACAGATTCTAATTCATCAACGTTCAAATCGGTGAAAGTATTGTTAATGAAACCCATAGAGGCATTAACCTTTTGTAATTTAGCAAAAGAAACGTTTGATACACTTGATAAAGTGATGTTATTAGCCCAAATCAATTCATCGAAGGATAGAGCAGTGTTTTGACCATTGAAACCTAATTCTAAAGCGTTAGAGACAGTAGCCAAAGAAGCCTTAACACTGGTCAAGTATCTGTTGTTGTTAATATTGAATGAATCGACAGTCTTTAAAGCAGAGAACCCATCAATAGATTCTAAAGAAGTATCAGAGATTAGGATGTTACTAGCAGCTTTCAAATTTGTTGCAAAAGTAGAGATGGCAGGTAAAGTGATCAAACTAATAGTACCTACTTTCTCTAGAGCACCGAAAGATGCAGTAGTTAAAACGGTTAAAGATTGTAATTCTAAAGAACCGGTAATTTCTTGAATAGAATCAGCAGAGAATGTAACTAAATCGGTGGCATTGTAGATTCTTAGAGAACCGTCAATCTTTTGAACGTTAGCAATAGCACCAGAGCCTAGGACACCTGAGATAGTCAAGTTACCTACTAAAGTGGTACAACCTGAATATTGATCTAAATCTGTTTGAGCAGTAGCAGTAGCACTAGAACCTAGACTACAACCTGAAGGAACTGAAGAGGAAGAACTCTTAGTAGCGGAGGAAGAAGAAGAGTCTGCAGCTAGAGCAGAAGTTGCTAATAAAGCAGCAATTGACAATGATTTGAATTGCATTCTTTATTTGTATATTTTATCTGTATTTATTAATAGTTTAAATTTAAACGAATGATGATTATAATGTCTTGAAGTATAAAAAACCATAAGAAATATATAAAAAAAAATATATATATATATTATAAAGAAGTAGAAATTATATATATAAAATGAAAAGATTACATTTANTTAAAACTAAATTAAATTACTGAGTTAAATGATATCATATGCATTTTATTTAAATGTTTCGGTTATAACCAAGATGAGGGGCGACAGAAATGATCGAAGAGCAGTAGTTGATTTAGTAACAGACAATGAATGAATGATATCAATCATGAAGTTGTTGGTTGTTATTGGATGTCATCTAAAGTTTCACGTTCATTAACTATAAGGAGAGAGCCGAGTGAAGCAGAAGAAGAAAAAATTAATTAAATTAAATCAAGTTGCTGGATCAAAGGGACAACCCACAAAAGAAACCCGCATACAAGGCTTGCAATCTATATCATGCATCTTTTCTAAATGATACAATTTTAATGAGGAAAAGATGTGTGTTTGTCTTCCTTAACTTAAATTAATAACGAAAAACACAATATTTATTTACATATTGTTTCGTGTTAGAAACGAAAAGACAACAAAATTACTTGAAAATTTGTAAACAAACTATCAAAATTAAATTAAATTAAATGGCAAGGTCGGATTTTCTTTGTTAAGTAATTTCTAACGTGTACGCCAAATTACTATAAAATGTATAAATAAATCAATATAAATCAATATACGGAAATTTTTTTCGTTTGTGCATGTCAACGAATTACCTCATTTAGTTGAAATTAATAACAATAATAATAAATTTTACAACAATATTTACATATTTACTGCTATTATTACTATTATTATTATTTTGATTCGAAGCGAACCGAAAAACACCGTAGCACACATATACAATTTCACCCCGTTTACTTCTCTTACAGAAAGCGAAACTTGAACGAATTACCCAAAATGAAAATAAAAAATTAAATTTCTTTTGTTCATCGACAAGAAAGGAAATTCGGTGCGAGCTGATTTACTACAGGAGTTACCTCTTTGGATAATATGGGAGCGAGGAAGACACCACCCAAAGAAAGCAAGACAGCAAAGAACCGCAGACCAGATTTTCTTTTTAGCAAAACACAACCTTTTCAATTTTGATCTCGGTCTTCTCTTTTTGTCTGAATAAATTTATTTGTGTGGCTGGGTTTATTGGGAGGAATTGCAGTATTGAGTTTGTCCTATGTAATACTGTCAAAATATAATAGCAGTTAGTAATAAAGAGTTTCATGTGTTCCGAGTCAGTACGTAAAAATTAGTTATTATTGAAATGCACCGCCATTTCAATATTATCCATTTATTACTAGTAAATATTTGGTTTAAATCTTTTGCATATATATTTGAATTAACCTTGTAGTCCGTCACTTCCCACGGTAAGCACGTGCACATGCATTTGAGCACATTTTGCTTTCTTTTGTTTCATTAATGTGTGACGATGGAACATCAGCGGCTAATTACAAGTTTTGGTAGAGGGAATACATATACATATTTTTTCTTACGATCCAAGAAAGGGTTAGGCCAATATACAATCTTAAATTATTCAACATTACATACTTTTTCTGATTAGGAGATTGTGCTCCTCTACAATATTAAACATTTAATTAAGTAATTTTTGTTTGTTGTTCCTATTTTATTCTGGTTCTTATAGTTCAACAATGTGATATATAAATATTCTCAATTTTACTAGAACGTTATAGGTAAATATTGTAATATAGTTAAAGGAGGGAACAAAAGAAAATATTATAAATTACAAATTTATAATTAACGGTTAATAACTTTTTCTATTGTGATAAACTTCCTATTATGATAGTATATATTGTATAATTAATTACTATAGTGGGATTACAGACTACCACCACTACCTATAACCCTCCTCTCTCTATTTCTCTCCCTTGCCCAACACCCCCCCCCCCCGCGCGGAACTTCATTCATTTCTTTCTTTCTCTCTCCTCTCTTACTAATAAAAATTCATTCGTTTTTTCCTTTCGCGGTGTTTTTCGTCTCGCTCTCCCGCTCTCAATTTCGGTTCCAACCAAAATTTATACCGCTGCCATACATTATTATTGCTATATAGTGGAGATGGGAATTTTGTTCAAGTCGCTTTTCTTTCTTTTGATAGTGTGTGGTGTGATAGAGAGAGGAACGATTTGTAAAAAAAATTAAAATAAAATAAATTTTGGGAAACACTAACTTAGACTTATTTTATCTTACACATTTTTTTTTTATTACAAATATAAAATTGATAATAAAAAAGAAATATTTGTTATTATTAATAATATTTATACATATGTATATGTATATGTATATATATATATATATATATCTTAATACCTTATCATAAGTGAATAATACTATTTTTGAACTGTTATTGATATATTTGTTATTGCCCCCCCTCTCATAAGGTAAAGAAAAATAGAACAACAAAAATATATATATTCATAATCGAACTACGAACAAACACACACACACATACACAAATACATAATGAGTAACCGTAAAAGTTCTGCAGCTAGTTTGTTATTACGACAATACAGAGAACTTACTGATCCAAAGAAAGCTATTCCATCCTTTCATATAGAATTAGATGATGATTCTAATATTTTTGTATGGAATATTGGTGTTATGGTATTAAATGAAGATTCTATTTATCATGGAGGTTATTTTAAAGCACAAATGAGATTTCCTGAAGATTTCCCATTCTCTCCACCACAATTTAGATTCACTCCTGCAATTTATCATCCAAATGTTTATAGAGATGGTAGATTATGTATCTCTATCTTACATCAATCGGGAGATCCGATGGCAGATGAAATAGATTCTGAAACTTGGTCTCCTGTACAAACAGTAGAATCAGTATTGATTTCTATTGTATCGTTATTAGAGGATCCTAATGTATCAAGTCCTGCTAATGTAGATGCTGCAGTTGATTATAGGAAAAATCCAGATCTATATAAACAAAGAATTAAAATGGAAGTGGAAAGATCGAAACAAGATATTCCTGCTGGGTTTGTTATGCCTTCATCAGATACTGCATATTTATCATCTAGACAAACTTCTGCTAATGGTAGAAATGGTTTAGATAATTTAAATCAATTTGATGAAAATGGTAATAGTACTAGTAATAATGGTAATGGTCATAATAATAATAATAGTCATAGTAATAGTCATAGTAATAATATCGGAGAAAATTTTTGGTACGATAGTGACGATGAACAGAATATATCTGATTTCATTAATGATGATAATGATGATGAATCTATGGGATTTAATGATGATGATGTTTATAACTATAAAGGTTACGATGAAGATGACGAACAAGATATTCAATTCGATGAAGAAGAAGATGACGATGACGATGAAGAAGATGACGATAGCATAGATAGCGTTATGGATAGAAAACAGCCCAATAAAGCAGGTGATGAAAGTGAAGATGTAGAGGAAATGGAAAAATTGGATAAGAAATAGTAGTTCTTTTTTTGAAAAATAAATTATCACCTAACATATAAAATGCAATTTAACTTTTCCTATTCCCTTCCATATCTCTCATTGTTATGTTTTCTCTTAGTCTCTCTCTATCTCTCTTTATTTAAAGTATGACCAAATAACTATTAACATAACAAGTGTTTCTTCTAACCTTGATTTTTCTTTCAAGTTAGGCAGAGAATAACTAGTCATTACAAGTATATATACATATAAAAAAAAATATATATAAATAATAATAAAATCATTCACGCATATTTATCATTTCTCTCTTAGATTATCATAGGTTTTCTCAGTTGATTATTACGTATCTTTCCTAGCTTAAACAATTACACTATATATGTATACTTACGTACCTTTTTAACCAACTCACAAATTATTTGGATGTACTAGAAATTGGTAAATTCATTTATTGATCTTATAGATTAATCGACCCTATATTGTTATAGTCTGCAATTCGTGTAAAATGCCCAAGTCATCTGACCTTAACGCGATATCTTCTGTTATATCCCCGTAGCATTTCCAACTTCTCTCTTTTAACCAAAGAAAATCATGAAAACCAAACGCCAAATGTTATTTTACCGCATTAATTTCTTCTCAAATAATAATAATAATAATAATAAGAATATTAGATGTGTAAGAAAATCAACAACGGATCGCTGGTACCGCGCTTAATGAAATAAATTTTCTGTATGTTGAGGAAAGTAGCCAGTTTAGTGTGAGAGAGCTTTTATTCAACACCATCGATAGTTAGTAAATTTAATCAATAGAAATATATACAGTTCAATTGATATTGAACTTATTCTATTTTACTGATACATTCCTACAATAACGGAAAGACCAAGTGCGATAGCATTGCAACTTACTAGAAGCTTATACTCTTTTTTTGTTTTGTTTTGTTTTTTGTCTTTTGAAGGAACGTTATATCTCATATCTTCATTTGGATTTCTATTATAGATATCTCGAGTTTGAATATTGCATTTTACATTTCCACATTCACTCTCAAGCATACATCTTTATCTTACTACATCTGTGGACTAAATACTTAATCTAACGTGGTACAACTTTTTTTTTTTTTCAATACAAGATTTGTTTATTATATTAGGCAATCGAAGGTTCATTTAGCATTCTATCCCCACCATTCGACCTCCATTCCAACACACTAAAAATGGCATCTCCGACTAAGTTTCAAATGAGATCTCCACTGAAGGAGACTGATGCTAATATGAAGCATTTGGTTCACCCTACTAAGAAGCGTCTCATAGATCAAATTGACATCATTGATGTAGATGAAAAAAATCTACTCAATGAAAGCAACAGTAATAGGAACGATAATGACAATGATAATGATGATCATAATAGCATTAATAATGAGAATATCATTGATGATAACGAAAGGGAACAGATCAACAATGATGATAATAAATACCGTAATACTACACCCGAGAGGCGTCGACAAGTAACTGATTATTTGGTAAAGAGACCTAAGATAGAACGTGCTAGATCCATTGAAGGTGCAGTTTTGGTTAGTAAGAAAACGGTGTTGAAAGCCATTGAACCAAAAGTAACGCAGAAGGATTTATTAGAATGGCAAAATAATTGGAAGAAAATAATGAAATACGATTCTAAAATTTATTTTGATATCACTGAGGATCCCGAAACTACTATTCCACAGAAGAGAACTTTAGACAAGAAACAGGAATTACTTAAGAGAGGATTCCAATCCTTGGGTGCTAAGATTACCTCCTTTTTTGATAATAGCGTCACCATTGTTATCACTAGAAGAGATACTAATAATATGGCATTTTTAAATTCCAATGATATACTGAGACGCGCGAAGAGACATTATATGAAACTATGGATGTATGAAAAAGCTTCACGTTTCTTAGGAAATTTGGATGTTGACCTTGACGAAATTGCAAACACTTATAATTCAAACACGGCAACGACAACATTATCTAATTTATTACAAAATGAAAAACTTTATGGTCCAAATGATAGAGATCCCAGGACCAAAAGGGATGATACACATTATTTTAAATATCCGCATGTTTATATGTATGACCTTTGGCAAACATGGTCACCTCTAATTACATTAGAATGGAAATATTCAGCAGTACAAAAGAAAAATGAATTACCATATCCGATAGTAAAAGGTGGTACATTTGGTAGATGTCCCTTTGTTGGTGATAGAACGTGTAATGAAAATGCATATAAACGGGTTGTTAAACGTTATGCACGTGATAAATTAAACAAGAATTACGCTATTAAGTTACGTAAACTTTATCAAACACAGGCTACTCCTTACCCCGTAGCAGATGAGGATGTAATTTTTCTACCTCATGAACAGTGTGATTCGAAATCCATATATTACCGATGGCAAATGCTTAAAAAGGGTATCGAGGAACCTTCTGAAATATCGTTCGAACGTGACTTAGATAATTCCAATAACAGTCCTTCCGGAGATTCAAAGAGAGGAAAATCGGAAGGACAAAATATGAAAATTACAGAAGAAGGTGCATACAAGGTCCAATCAAAGGATAACTTAGTATTCGATTCTTCTAAAAACATGATTGTTGCATTAGATACACCAAGCACCAAACAGGTGGAAACATCTCATTTTCCAAACAAACCTGGTGTGTACAAGGAACCTCCAACGCCTAAGTTGAAGAGACCAGTTCTTGCTTCGTTTACAAGACAAGACACGGAAGATTATTTTCCAGATGACCTTTGCAACTCAAAGAGACAGTCTCATATTAATTACGAAATAAAAGCAAGTGGTGTTCATCAATCAAATGATGTTGCGACATCTTTTGGTAATGGTTTAGGACCTACAAAAGCTAGTGTTATGAGTAAGAATATTAAAACTTTAAGCAGATTTGTAGTCGATAGGAAACTAACTACACCAAGTACAAGAAAATTGGGAACTGGAAAATTATCTCATTCACAGCTACTTAACGAAAACAATGCTGTAGAAACTATCAATGACAAGAAAGTCCTGATGTCCAAAACTGCTAGTCATAGTAATGACACTAATCTTAAGGATGACGCTACAACTGCACAAAGTGTGAAAGTTGAACGCACAATTACAAATAATCAGCCTCCTAAGGCTCCAGTTTCACAGCCAAAAGTGGTGCCTAAAAATTCAGGATATTGCGAAAATTGTAGAGTTAAGTATGATTCTTTAGAAATCCATATCCAATCGGAGAAACATATTACTTTCGCTGATAACTCTATGAACTTCGAGGCTATCGACACCTTAATTGGCAAATTAAAATTTCAATTTTAAATTATCATAAAACACCCATGTTACAACCAATAAACTTGCATAACTTCATTTTCTCTCTATATAATACTATTTAATTTTATCTTTATTACTATTAACATTTCACTAAAACGATATAATAATAAAAATGAAGAAATAAAAAGTTTAATAATCTTGATAATGTTATAAATAGTTCCACACTTTCGAATGTTACGGGATTACGCAATATAAAATTAAAATTTTGACTATTTCTAAGTAGTTCGATAACTTAATATGTACATTAATTTATACTTCGAAAATATTTATTGAAATATGCCATTTCTAACCACTTTGTTCTGAATCGTTTTCCTGTACACTATATCTACAGTTTGTATCCCATCCAATTGCAGGTTTTGAATTGTAAGGCTATTGTTTTCATTTATACCTCAATATGGAAACGACGGAAAACAATATTTTAAGAAAAAAGAAACCCCTCCATTGTTGGTGTATTCATTGTATGTAAATTCCTTAAAGACGATTTGTCCATTCTTGACATTGTGTAATATGTCATATTAACACTCTTTACTATAATTGTATTGTTTCTAGTTCTGTTTAAGAATAATGTTAAACAATTGTTGTTGTTTTTAGAGATTGGTGTCACTCGAAATTTCATCCAAAATATTATCGTAGTAATTAAATAAACTATACCAAAATTGAGAAAGTACGAGCTTAATTATATAGCAGGTTCTTTACCTCCTTCACCTTTCATAATTCTAATGAGGTTTCTTTCTTTGTTCTTCTTCATATTTTTACTGTGTATTGATGAAATAGCGGTACATAAGCTTATCGAAATATAATAGATATACCCAATATATTGTGGCTATTGAACGTTTACGGACATTTTCTAGCCTTTTCAGGAGTTTTGAGATATGGTTGCTCTTCTCATTATAAAACATGGATATCAAATATTTTTTATGATCTGTTTATTTAACCCTCAGATATATATTATTTATTTATTGTTCATCAATCGTGGATGCGGAAATTATTTTGCACAAATTGTATTGTTACAACATGAGATAATTTTTATAATAATACATAAATTAAATCCAGACATCCTCCATGACTCGAAACTCTCCCAATTGAACAATATAATATGCATGCAGCCTTGTTCAATGCACTTATAACTTCCGTCTTAAATAAAAATGTTGATTGTGATGAGGCAATCGAAACCCCCAGGGTTTGACACATGGCTAAAATTATTTTTACCCGTAATATTCATCATTATTTTTACCAAAAACACTCAAACATTCGACAAAATTTCTTCCTTACTCTGTACAAGATATTACAATTGAGATAACGGATTAAAATATGACCTCTGTGTGTTTAATTCAGAATTTCTTTAAAAACAAAATCTTTTATAGTACATTCGGGGATTTGAAAACACGAAAATATGCCTAATTTTTTATCCTAAAATGCAACTCAATGAAGAACTCAGCCAGTTATCGATACCATTTTATATTAGTTCCGGTATTTAATGTGTTGCTCAGGAGCAAAAAGAATCAATGAAATTTCCGACTTATTAACAATTTACTGACACTGTCTCTCTTAGTCTTAATTCACTAATTTTTAAATTATGCATCAGTAGTGCAGAGCATGAAACGATAGGACTGGTATAAGAATATACACGACGTCCATATGTAGTTTTAAATTATCTTACGTTTACATTGATAGAAAAAGAGAAAGAAAATTATTATCTTATTAATGGAATATTATTATATGTGTTAAATATGGGAAACGTATTATTTTTCAGCATTAGTTGAATTGGTGTGAGAATGGGTATGCATCATATTTTTAATTGAGAAAATGCAACCATGCTGTGAGATTTTATCACCTTTGAGGTTAGTAAAACAAACTAATTGTTTAGCAGTTGGTTTCTTTGATGAAACCTCACCGCTCGGTAGCAAATACTTACCTTTCCCGAACTTAAAATGCATTTTTAAATGTCTTAGCATGTTGGACCTTGCATTGAATAATTTCTCACATTCTAAGAACGGACATACGTAAGGTTTCTCACCTGAATGTATGTTCATGTGGGTGTCTAATGTAGAAGGACGTTGGAAATTCTTCCCGCAGATTTTGCAACAATGGGTACCACCCTTAGGTGAAGTTGCTTTAGGACTACTGTCTTTATTATTCGTGGAAGGAATTGTACTATTTATAGCCAATTTAGCGTCATTATAATTTTCACAACTTTGATTAAGTGGGTATTTCGGTTCAGCTATTGATAATGAGGGAGAACATTGGGAAGAACTTCTGGATAATGAGGAAACTAACGTTGATGGTGAATTAGTTGTATTGTTCTTTAAAGATATAGTTTTGCAATTTAGTAAATAATCTTGAATATTTTTTGCATTGATGTTAGAATGGGAAGAATCTCGGGAGGTTTTCCCAATCTTGTTATGTAGTGAATTTAAGTAAAGGGCTTCATCGGATAGTAAACTTGTTGTAGAAGAGTTATGACGAAAACTTATGTTTGAAGGGGAAGAAAGATCTATAGGCAATAAAGGGGCCAATTGAATCTTTTGTTCATTACAAATTTGATGAGGACAATTCTCAGTTTTGCATTTTGCATATGAGGAAAATAGGTTAAAATTTCCGTCAGAATAAACTTTACCTACCTTTTCTAAAGGGCAATTTAATAAAAGGCTGCGTTTATTCGAGACGATATTATTTTCGGAATTTTTAATTTCTGGTGTTACGTTGTCATATAGGTTAACAAATATATTTGAAAAAAACGGTGTTGTTTCGAAATTATCACAGAGATTATTGGGCTGGATATTATCAAAATCATTAGCAGTTGATTTTTGTACCTGGTTACCAAAAGGAGATTGTGGAATCATTAATGATAAAATTACGTTTGATTTAATTTTCTATAATTAGAAAGTTAATATGCTTATAGGATGGTTAAAATTTGATATAAAAAATAATGTTACAAGTTGTGGATTGTCTTTCTTTTAAAGAATTGTATAACTAATAGCATGTATTTATTTTAATTTCGAATTTCGTTTATAGTTTATGTATTGTAGCTAAAGTTAAAGTTATCAACAATAAGGGGATAAAGTGTTTAAGGGTTTGGGAACTTTGAAGGAAGTAATTGAAAAAGTTTGTTACTACAATCTCAAAATGCTAAGATTCTAGATCATCATACTTCTATATATATATATATATATATTCCCTTGCATATCTAAATTATTATTCTTTTTTTTAATATATTTCAATAATTATAATTTCTTGTTTGATAATGCAATTACTTAACAAACAGGAGATTTTCTTTTCATAAAAAAATTACGTTAAATTATTATGGTTGTAACTTTATTACTAAGAATATATGATATTAGAGAGAGGGAACTCAGAAGGTTATCTGCATAAGCATAAACTGCTGTACCTATTAGTTGTTTGTGTAAGCAATTCTAAAGGACACTTTGGTAATTATGCAGCAAAAAAAAGAAATATAAACAAATAAACAAATAAATAAATAAAATTAAAGATTGAAGAAGTGAAAGAAGAAGTTAGTTCATAAGCATTCATATCTTGTTGTACACTAAATTAAATATATATTATGCACTCCAGGGGCGGAGCAAGAAAGTGACAAGTCAGGTATCTATCTATCTATTCTATATGCACGAAGTCAGAAGAAGATGAAAAAAATTTGGATATTTATTGTTCATAATTTTTTGTTTGGAATCAAGGTAGAAAGATAAAAAACGCGTTCAAAAGAAGGCAGAGTTGCCCTCTATTTATTAGAAATCAATTCCAGAATTTTAATGATGAAAAAAATAGCAACAAAAATTTATTTAAGGTTTTACAGTAGGTTGTCGAACAATTCAATTTTTTCGTTCGTTCTTTCTTTTTTTGATCTATTCTTGTGTAATCCAATGACTATTAAAAGAACTTATGTTATAGGAACTGTCTATCATAAGAAATAAAAAAGAAATGCCGAAATTTTTTGAATTAAGGTATAGTTTTATTTTTGAGGATTTTCATGTTTTACTGACTTGAACGTTGAAATATATATTCGTATTGTATTTTTTAGAACAAGGTTCAAAGACTTAATGAAAGAAATGAACTGCATATTAGACTGAGTAGATTGATACAATTCAGATATTAAGGTTAAGAGAAGTACGAAAACAAAAAATAGTTTAAACTTAAAGGATTACGTGCAAGGAAGGGACTGTATGATCTCGCAACAATCATAACCATAATAACAACATCATTAATCGCTAAATGTAAGAAAAGTTAGAAGAAACTAAATGAATTCAACTTTAATGGAGTCAAAATAGATTGTAGAAATCGTGATCATTTATTTATTCTCAAGGATTAATTATGGCAGAATCAAAGTTTATATTCATGCTCAATTACTTACCGTTTGCACTAATATCAGATTTTGTTCTTTAGTCTCACACTTTGAAGTACCAGGGGTTTTCAATGAAAGCAAAAAATAACAGGGGAATATTTGTGGAGAGAGTATTTCTCTTTTAACAAAAAGAGTTTTTGATTGATAGTATTATTTTCCTCTGGAACTTGGTCTACCAAACGGTACAGGCAAGAATCAACAATTCAAAGTAAGAACAAAAAAAACGTTTTTACTCTTTAATGAGATGAAGAAGAATTAGGATTCTTTCGTCATTAGAAAGTTTAATATATAGAGAGTGTGTGGGGGTGTTTGTTTACTTGTTTATATGTTTCCTGTATTGATATTATTCAATTTAACCAAAATATTATATTACTTCCAATATGCTTATTATTGTCATTGCTAATTTTTTGTTTCAGGGCACTGCAGCTCCCCATATTTTTGCATTAATATACAGCACTTTCTGGGCCGCTGCATTGATAACACATCTTAAAAAAATGAAATACAGTTTTCATTTGTACGGAAAATCATTAGAAATTCTATGCATCAATTAACGTAGAGACCGAAGGTTTCATGAGGCAATAAATCTTGAATTTGAGTGGGATGTTTAAAGTAAGTAAATTTGGGCGAGAAACTTCGAAGAAGAAGTTTTGAACGCGTGGGTGATTGACTAGGGTTAGGAAGATAGAGTTTGCTAAAAAGAAGAAAAATTCGAAGTCTTCCTTAACAGGATGATTAAGATATGTAACAAAAGAACTGTTCACAAAGTACGGAAATTATTTCAATAAACCTACCTCATTCTACTACTATCACTTTGTATTTTGCTGTTCTATATTCAACATATACAAAAATTATTATCAACCCTTTTCTTTTTTCAATATTAGAATCATGATACGAGCATATGAACCACTAGTGCTATTCCAACTTTGAATATCAATAAACAAAACAAAGTTTGAGAAAATTTTAAACCCTCTTGGCAAAGTAGTGAATGTATTATGTCCAAGGGGAAAGTAAATCAGAATGATCTCAATTTTTTGATACACCCAATGGAAGAATTGAAAAAATATAATGTTAAAGAACCCCAAAATCTATTTTTCAACTTTAATTAAAGTTTTAATTTTTAAACAGTTCCAGTGGTTCTGTTTCTATAATCATAATAGTAGTTCGTGCTAACTTTTTTGTTCTTCTTTTTTGAATTACTACTGCGATATAGTATTCGGAGTATTATACGAAGAACAATCAATCTTAGTTCGTTTAATAGTCAAACTTTACATAGAATTACTAAGTACGTTTAGGTGTTTCTTTTTCTTTTTTCTTTATTTTTGATTCTTCTTAGATAGTTACATTCTTCATCGTTTGAAATCTTTAAAAAGAAAATGCAACAAACATTAACAAAAAGATTTGATTATCAAATAAGAAAGTTGGTCATTTGAATTTTACATAATATCCTTATAATGAAACATTATGTTCGCCTCCATCTTTTTTTTTGTTCCTCCATATATTTAATGAATCTACGTCGTTTGTACTCCAGATGTTACCGTAAACTTTATTATTATGTAATGTATAGTTAAGTTGATGACTTCCCTTTGACCTGTGTCGGCTGTTAAACGTTATTTTATAATTTTCTAGTATTTGGTTACACAATGGTAAAGTTTTAGAGAAGACTCTGAAGAATAAGCAAATTACGTTGGGAACTTTACACTGATTTACTCTCCATATAATTCATAGTAATTGAGTTTGATTATTTATTCAAGAAAAAATATGTTTTAAACGTCTGTGTATGTTGTCGTTTAGGAATAAAATAATATATTTATAATTTCTTTAACAGATAGAATACTTCTAGGTCATGAAATCTCCAAAAGTCAAATTTTTTGCATTCATCTTAAAGAAAAAGAGAATATTTTAGCAGTTACCATTGCAAGTGGTAAATTTCTGCTTTAGAAACGTTGCCCATCCCCCTGTATGCATACTTTTCTAAAGGTTGCTTCAACATCTCTGCGGTGGATATATCGTTCTTGTTCTTGGAGTAAAACCAAAAAGAAGAAAGTTTTAGTATTGATAATTAATACTTGTATGAGAGGGTGAAATATAACTAACCCCCATAAAATGTTATGTTAAAGGAATTAATAGTTTAAACATATTAATCATAGTTTATTCTTTATCTTTCTTTCACTTAGAAAAGGGGTGCCTGTCGCGTCAACCTAATTTTTTATTGTATATATGTTCCTTTTAAAGTAAAATTATCTTAAAATGGACATTTTATTGCTCAAATCGGTCATTTGAAGTGAAAAGAATGAAGATGAATCAAATAAGAAACAATAATTAAAGAACAAACTTTGATGTCACAACTGGTCAACAATTAACAAAACTTAAAACAAAATCAGGTGTTGTTAAAGGATATATATTGGTTTATTATCTCGCTTGAAAAGCCTATGTAGTCACATTATACAAGAAGTGACTGAATGTTTGTATAGCTAACAGTGTTTCAACTGTCATCTAGAAAAGAGTATACTGTTATATCTGCGAACTTCATTTGTAGTTTCGCACATTAATGTCCTACTTAATAATAATATAAAACTCATTATGTGAAGTAATGTATTTTTTTAACTTTTTTTTGTTTACTGGTTGTGTTATGAGTAGACAGTTGAAATCTTGACATGATCTTTTTGGTTAATATTTTTTTTTGTGATACAAACACTTTGGATGATAGTATACAGTAGTAGTCCAGAAGAAAAAAAACATTAACCTAGTGGAAGAATAAATAAGCAATTTACAGGTGTGTTTAGAGTATTCCCCTCGAACTGTTTCAGGAATTTTATTCGTTTCTTATTTGCTTTTCTTTGTCAACAAACATTAATCAATTTTGTTATCCGATCACCCGGATGATAAAACAACAACAATAGCATTCATAGTAATGTTAAATAGATGGAAATGGAACTATCAACAGAATATTCTTAATAAAGTTCCCCCTTTAATCTGAAAATTCGCTGTAAGATCGACTAACGAATAATTCACTTCTTCCTATAATTTTCATCCAACACATTAAAGTTTTTTTTCATGTGAATCTAACAATTTTAGGTTTTCCAAGACTTAAAACTTTTTCCCCATGACTTTCTGTGTTTTTTGTTCTTTTATTTTAAAAAAAGTTCGAAATCTTTGTTTTCCACAATTTTCTGCGCATAATGGGGCGCTTGGACAGTGGCAGAAGAAATTCTTGCTTTTTGTCGTTCTACATTTGTTTCTCTGATTTGTTTTTTACTAACCGTATTTCACCGGTTAGTAAAACAAAACTCCGTAATTAGAGATGCCTTCTCTTTGTCTTAATCATTTTGATGAGTTAAATCAAATAAAATATATGTGGGGGTAGGAGTGGAAGACCGTAGGTTTATAACAGAAACGTTATAACCTCAGAAGACTGAAGAGAGAAGAGATAGAGAACAGGTGAAGTAAGCATCGTTCTTTTTGGCAATGTAATCACAGATATATTGAAATATAACCATATTTACCACATGTTAGGATAAAAAAATACCCAAATTAATTGAAGAGCATTGAGGTAGCTATTCTGGATAAACAGTCACACAGACAACCTTTAATAAATACGGATCAATATGTTCAGTTTTGAATAGAGAATGTTATTTTCTGCATATTTCAATATCGAACAACATTTGAATTCAATTTTAATTTTCGAAATATCATATAGTTACATACTGCAAGAAATGATGTATCTGTATATACAAATACATTAGATAATAATGAAAATAATAGCAAAAATATTCCAAAACTTTTCTTTCTTGGCGACATTCCAGTATATTAATCGTATTTCTCAGTATAATAACTAACAGATCTGTCTGTTATTCTACCGTGCTGTCTTGCGCAAAAATTCAAGATTCCCCTTTAATAAATAACATAATTTTGCTGACCACTAAGTCAATCTTGGTAGAGGAGACGGAATTTGCACTAAACTTATCAATAGACTAGCGAGAAAATGTTTATGGAAAAAAATAAAAAAGAAATAGGAATTCTGCATATCTTGGTGATCACGTTCTAAAGTATTTGATTTTTTCCGTTATTTTCAGTGACTATTCTTATATAATATTTGAAGTGTGATGTTCGCATTTTTTCGAAACCCTAGCATAGGTATACCGAAACAGAAAAAAGAAAGTTCAATTTTCAAGGTCGATTTTATTAGCTTAGTTTTTTCCCTTTCCCCATTATTTTTTGTTTTTCCTTAGTAATCATGTGTAATTTAACTATAAACTCTTCGAACGATATATGAAGGTAAATAACTTTTGAACTTTATTTTCTGTTTCATAACGTGTATATATATGTGTTGTTCTGTTTTGTTAAAGTCCATTATAAAGAGTTGTAATTTACATACATTTATATAACCTCGAAATATAATAGACATAATATATTGAAAAATTATGGATCAAGATACAGAATCATTTAGAGATGATGAAAGTTCTATATATATGGAAGATGGTTCATTTTGGGAAAGAACGCATAAACCAAGACTAATTATTTTAATTAGACATGGTGAAAGTGAATCAAATAAGGATAAAACGATTAATGAAAACGTTCCAAATCAATTAGTAGCGTTAACTGAAAAGGGATGGGCACAAGCCCATCATGTTGGTACTGAATTATTAAGAATTTTAAATGTTGAAAATAGAAAAGTGGCCAATGACCTTTCCAAAAAATATAATATGTGTGAAACAGATTGTGGAAAATTACCATTAATTAATTATCAACCATTGAATAAAAGTGTTGATAAAAATATTGTATTTTATACGTCACCATATAGAAGAACAAGAGAAACGTTAAAAGGTGTTCTAAACGTTCTTGATGAATATAATTTACGTAATGCGAATGTTGCTACATGTCCAGATTATGAATATAAACCTAATGGTAGACAAAAATCTGCCATTTGGCCATCACCAAATCATAGACCAAGCGGTGAATATGAAAATGATAAAAGTACACATCGTATAAGTAATAAAATTCCAGGTAAAACTTATATAAAATATAGAGTAAAAGATGATCCAAGAATTAGAGAACAAGATTTTGGTAACTATCAAGATGTCAACAATATGCAAGACGTATTAAAGAAAAGAGCAGCATATGGTCATTTTTTCTTCAGATTCCCACAAGGGGAAAGTGCCGCTGATGTTTATGATAGAGTAGCAAGTTTCCAAGAGACAATGTTTAGACATTTCCATGAGAGGCATTCAAATAAACCTCGAGATGTTGTTGTATTGGTGACTCATGGTATATATGCAAGGGTATTTTTAATGAAATGGTTTAGATGGACATATGAAGAATTTGAATCTTTTACTAATGTACCTAATGGTTGTATGATTGTGATGGAATATGACGAAAATTTAAGACGATACGTATTAAGAAGTCAACTACCTAAATGGAATATACTGGAAGAATGATTAGTAGTTACAATTAGAAAGTAAATTAAGACTGTATATTAAAATAAGAAACATTTTTACAAATATATATAAATATTTAAGCATCAAAAAAAGCATTATTATTGATATGAAACGGTTTAAAAAGCTATAGTTAATTAATTGATTAATTTTTAAGATTCAATGTTAAGGGTTCATCCATTTCATACCAAAAGAAATAAAAAAAAAATTAGTTTACATAATATTAATAGGCACAACCCCGAGTAAGATACTAGTACATAGAAACTGCTATATGAAGAAAAGACAAATAAAACGTATTACCCTCTCTCTATCATTTATTTATTCTGTTTTCTGATCTCGGCTGTTACGCTTCAAAGATTTTGAAATATTTTGAATTTCACGCAACTTCTTCTATTCGTTTGGAGGACCCACACACCATAGCTTCGCCTAAAATATATACACAAGTAACTAAGAGAACTACGTAAAAAAATTCGTAACTACTGCTGGGGAAGAAAAAGGGAACCGCGCTGCTCCAGTATATTATATTGTTGGTGGGTTCACACAGTAGACAGACAGGGATAATCGCATATTTTATGCATTTTTCTTAGTGTATATGGTTTATAGGAAATGTCAACGTTGCAGTTGTGTATAATAACTAATTACCGCACTTAGGAAGCTAAATTGAATATTATGTTACATACCAAAAAAAAATATGCTGTCGTCTTGTGGGTTTCGTTGAAAAGGTATCACGGTAGCCAATGTACAGGCAAATATTTATTGATTAGGATAATTATTTTTGAGAGACTTTATTGTTAAACTTGAATAGAAAAGAAGCTATCATCAATTGATGATATGTCTTTTAATTAATTGTATGTGGTTATTAATTTATTGTGTACTAGTCTTTCTTTCACAGTTTTTTCTTTATTCGTCTACTTGTTCTTGGTTTATTAGCATTTGCAAGTAGAAGTTAAACCAGCGACTACTTAATAATATTCATGTTTTGATGTGCAACGTTTCGTACTGGGTTTTTTTCATCGTAATGTATTTTTCTTGGTTTTGTTTATTCAACTTTGAATGAAAATAATATATAAAAACAAATGATATGTAATCAATTAATTGAATTTTAAGAAATATATTTTCCTTTCATTATGTACTTTTTGTTTTTGTTAATTATATTTTCTTCTTCTTATCTTCTCTTTTTGAAAGAAATCGTACATCTTTTTTACTAAAGTATAACATAATAATATATCAAAAATGGCTAGACAATTCTTCGTCGGTGGTAACTTCAAGCTAAACGGTTCCAAGGCTTCCATTAAGGAAATCGTTGAAAGATTAAACTCTGCTTCTCTATCCAAGAACACTGAAGTCGTCATCTGTCCACCAGCTGTCTACTTAGACTACGCTACTTCTCTAGTCACTGCCCCAACTGTCTCTGTCGGTGCCCAAAACTCTTACAACAAGGCTTCTGGTGCTTACACTGGTGAAAACTCCGTTGAAATGATCAAGGACGTTAACGCCAAGTGGGTCATTCTAGGTCACTCTGAAAGAAGAACCTACTTCCACGAAGATGACAAGATTGTCGCTGACAAGACTAAGTTCGCTCTAGACTCTGGTCTAGGTGTTATTCTATGTATCGGTGAAACTCTAGAAGAAAAGAAGGCCGGTATCACTCTAGATGTTGTTAAGAGACAACTAGACGCTGTCATTGCTGAAGTTAAGGACTGGACTAACGTCGTCATTGCTTACGAACCAATCTGGGCTATCGGTACTGGTCTAGCTGCTACTCCAGAAGATGCTCAAGAAATCCACGCTTCTATCAGAGAATACTTAGTCGCTAAGCTAGGTGCTCAAGTTGCTGCTTCCACCAGAATTCTATACGGTGGTTCCGCTAACGGTTCCAACGCTGTCACCTTCAAGGGTAAGGCTGATGTCGATGGTTTCCTAGTCGGTGGTGCTTCTCTAAAGCCAGAATTTGTTGACATCATCAACTCCAGAGATTAAAAAGTTTATTTTTATTAATTCATATATTACATAATTCTTTTATAAACTCTATCAAACCTATATAAATCATCATATTCTGTTATTTTGTAACAGTAATAACGAAACGAAATCAATAGAAATAATTTTTTAAAAAAAACATTAGTACTATTTTCTTGGTTATTTATGTATATGATTTATATTGTTAGTGCTACGTAATTTTTATTTGTTATACAAGGATACCAAAATATTTTGCTCTAGGTACAATTCGTATTAATTCTTCCCATTGTACCACAAACAAATCTGCAAACAAATAAACTATTTTCCCTGTCATACTTAAAGTATTGATACGTGCTAGGGATTCAATGTAGATAATATGAGATGATGTAAATAATAGCAATATATCAATTAGCTTGAACCATAGAGCAATGATACAACAAGTCCCGGGACCATTTAATAATACTAAGTGAGGCTCTCCCATCATTGAAAATTTAATTTGAATAATATTATATAAAGAACTTAATAGAGTCATCATGATACTTTTCAAACTTTTCAAATAACCTGCATTAACTTCTCTTGCTTTAATAAATGTATAATACTTCACATCAATATCTTTATAACATGATGATGACATCATCAATTTTTTAAATTTTTCATGAGATTGCTCATCTGAGTAACCCACATACAATGTATTACTCTTTTTCAATAAAATTTCATTAAAATTTGTTAGAATTCTTAACATTTCACCTGTATGACCACCAGACCCTAAAAAGATAAATGCATGTAATGGTCTTTCATTGGTAATTCTTATAATTTCTTTTCTCATTACCTCATCAGAGGTTTTGTTGATTGATGTTTCAGTGTCATTACTGATATTGTTCAATCTATAAAATGGTAATACAAATAAGGCACGAGTTAAAAATATCGATACCACTAATATAATTATAGCAAATGAATACGCAGTGCTCAGCCCCATTATGCAAATACAAAAGAAAGAGAATTCAATACGTAATTCTAGATATATTTTGTGAAAAGTTAACCTTTGAGATTAAAAACTCTTCTTTTTGTTGTTGTTCACTTTGAATGTTCCTGTAATGGCAGTGAATATTGCTTCCTTAAAAACAACGTCAAGTTTTAAAGGGATAATAAGAAACCACTTTCTTGTTTAACACCCCATGTACGTTTAAACAAGAATATTGTATGATATTACCACATTGCGTACACAATTTTTTTTTCTTCTATTTTTTGTTCAACTTCTGTCGATAACCTCCTCAAACATGTCAAGTGGTCAAATGATTGAAAATCTCAGGCAGGTAAAATAATCCGAAAAGGGTTCGTTCGACCTTCATTTTACTTTCACTTCGCGTGTATTTCTTTCCCTCTCAATAAAATTGAGACTCTCTTGCACGACGCGAAAAAAAAATAGATATCCATTTCCCAAGAGCTGCACACTTTTCTGTGCGAAGATTGCACTCACACAGTCTAAAAATAATAATTATCTTTTTTTGGCTGTCTTTTCAGAAATACGATACCACATAGAAATAAAACATTTGGCGTTTCTTTAACTTCTTTGGTGGAAGACGAATTACGTCCCTTTCCATTTAGGTTTAACGATATTGCCCTTTGCATACTTCTTCCTGTTTGAGTCGAGAGAAGGTTCAGTGAAGTTAACTAATAAACAATAGTAAAAGGTTGTATCTATTTTGGTCCTAGGTTTGGTCGTTCCTATTAGTTTTTAAAATAATATGAAGACTCTGTCTTGCTCGTTTGGTGTTATTCTATCCTAATTAAGTCGACAGCAGCTATTGTCATGTTGTTGTAGTCGAATGTATATTCTGAGCCCTATTGTTCTTGAAGTATGTTCTCCTTCTCGATAGGAATATATATATAACTGTATATCTACAAGTGTAGTGAAGTTTGAGTTAAACAAATACACATTTCCTTAAACTTTACGAGTTACAAATAGTTCAACTGAAAATCAAATCAATTTACTTTCGCTTTACCCTAATAATTTGGTCTATCCTTTGTTTGCACCTTTGGAATATATAAATACATTTTAATAACAAACAGACGCGTTAATTTAATTTAATTTAATATAATTGATCGTTCTTCACATTGACTAAATGTTACGCAAAAAAACTAGAAATCACGGAGATGCTTCTAAGAGACAATCCATGTTTATGGAAACTATGGTTAATTCCTTTAGTTTACATCAGGATAAACCCACTAATAGTAATAGACCCTTAGATTATATTTCAGACCCAATTCCAATGGAGAGTACCACCAGAGTTCCTGTTAGATTATCCAGAAGAGAATACTCATTAAGATCCTCGGAAACGAAAGTCAAAGCATTAAAAAGAAGTAGTATGATGCTCGATGGTAATATCATAAGAGATTATAATCTTGCAGTTAAAGGAATGAATGATGAACAAAATACAACGAGAAGTAATTCGGAAAGTAGTATAACATCAAATCAAAGTAGCATATCATCACTTTTTTCCAATGGTAATTCTAATAATTTACGCGATTTATTATATGAAGAATTGGATACAGTTCAAATGGCAAACGATAATAACAGTAGTAAAAATGATACATTATGTGTAGAACCGTTACAAGGTACAAAAGCATTATTTATGATTAAGGATAATATGAGAGATAATGGATCGTGGCTGGACCCACAAGAAATTGGAATTAACGTATTCTCTAATGAAACTACACCTGAACTAAACCGTTCAAACAACAAGAAATTTTCTAGAACTGTTCTAGACTTTATTTAATTTAAAATATTCCTAACTACACCAACAGAAAGTAGAGAGTTCAAAAAACTCTTTGGTTTTATTTGGTATTTTTGCACGTTTCAGTTTGACTTATTTTTCTTTTTGAAAAAGAAAACAACAATAATTATAAATTTTGTCAGACTATTGATAGATACCCTTTTAAAAAACATTTACAATTAATCTTCATAGATGTCATTATGTTCTTTTGCTACATTTGATTAGCAATTTTTTCATATACCCCGATAAATACAATTCATTAATTTAATAATTGCTCAATACTAAAGTTATTTAATTTTTCCTCATATCCCCCACATCATAAGCCAAATCTTAAATTTGTGAGTAAACCTTAATAGTTATTTAAAAATTTGAAGAACCATACGGTCATTTCTTATAAAACGTTTAATGTTAAAAGAAATAATGGGTTTATCCGAGACAAAGGATGAGAGGCATAGAGTTGAGTTGCGACTTTAACTTTCGCTTATCCCAACATTTTAGTCTGTTTACTCTTGGTTCCTCTATTTGTTTGCTTTAATGTAGAGTTATCCGTCTAATATTGCCAAAAATGAACTTTAAGGGATGATTCAATCGTTTATGTGTCGTAAATATTCCATATTATTGAAGTAATTCAATGCCAAGAATGATAATATTTGTTTGGGAAGCCCCCTTAAAGCGGCGATGACAATTTTCTTCTAGATAAAAAAAAGGATGAATATCAATATGTTTGACAGTTCTCGGAGTTCTTCTTTGAAAAACATTTTGGCATAATGCATAATAATAATATAATAATAGTATATTACCAGTACGAACCGAAATTCTTTTTTAAAGATCAAACTTTATTTGGTATAGGCTTTTACTCCCTTATCAAATTGTGTTTGCTGTCCGTATTATTTGAAAATAGGGCAATAATATTACTCGTTATGAACCCCCCCCTTCTTTATTAATAATATAAATAATAATAAGAATAAATTTGTTCCATAAATTACTAAAAATTGGCATATATAAAACGATGGTACATGAAATTTTGGAATCAGGATCGTAATGTTTTTATTTTTAATGTTATTTTCTTGTTCTTCTATAGATGATAGTAATAATAACTTAAATATATATATATTTACAATACTATTTCAATATTTTTAAAAATATCTACCGATGTCCTTTTTCAACCCATACTATAACTTTTTTGATTCCATCAATAATGAAGTCGAAGATTTCAACAACTATTTGAACCCTGTTTTTGATTCTACCAACAATAAAAGATTAAAGGCCAATCCTCATCAAGATAAATATTCCAATCAAGTAGCCTTTAGAGATAACCACGCTCATCATGGACAAGTTACCACTAGGCCAACAACTCAACTTGATAATTGGTTTGATAATGACTTCTCCTTGATTCCTTTTGATGCAGAAGTTGGAGGCCATATGGCTGTTCCAGTAGACATTTTGGACCATGATAATGATTATGTCTTAAAAATCACGGTTCCAGGTGTTAGGGCAAAAAAAGATATTAATGTAGAATATGATCACAATAAGAGTCAAATTACCATTAGTGGTGAAATTCCAAGCGCCGTTACAGAAGACAATAAGCATAATGTTAAAGTTAAGGAACGTTCTTCGGGTAAATTTAAGAGGGTTGTCACTTTACCTGAGTACCCCGGTATCGACACGGAAAATATTAAAGCCGATTATTCTAGTGGTGTCTTGACCTTACATGTTCAAAAACTGAAACCAAAGAAAGGTGAAAAGGGCAATGTGAAGAAGATAGAAATTACATCTAATGAATCCTGGTCAGAATGATTTTCCAGTTTTTCCCGATATTGTTTTGGTTTCTCTTAGCCCAAAAAAAAGTTATTAATGAAAGTTTTATTAATTTATCTTTTCTAACATAAATATGAAATTTATAAATTTTATATAATTCGTAAATAATGTCAAAAAATGCAATGATTTTTATGTTTTGCCTACTGTCTTTCTTTACCGCGGTACTTATTTTTAGACTGCAGTTATTTGGTTTTACTCATTCTAGCTTCTGCTGCTCTAGCACGTTGTTCTCTCATTAGCCTACGTTTTTGATCTCCTGTTAGAGAGTTTAGGTTTTGTTCCGTGGATATGCTTGGTACGGCAGATAACGTATTAAGTGTGTGACCTTTACCATTCTTCTTTTCGTAGTCCTCTTTTTGTCTTTCTTTTACATTCTGTAACTCCTTCTTAACGATATTATCAACTTTAGTTTTCTCGTCCTCTTCCAATTTCTTGTTGATCATTTCTACTTCTTCTCGACTTAATGGTTCGCCGACATGGGCATCCTTCCAAGACGTAAATTCTTCTCCCAAGTTATGTCTTGCAATTTGGAATGATTGTTTAACAGCATCAGACTTTGTTAGATCCCATGCTGTTCTACCACTATTGTTTTGGATGATTGGAGAGCATTTTAAATTAGTTAATAATATTAAAACCATCTGTTTTAAACCGTTTTGCGAACAGTAATGCAACATTGTAGGCGTAATCCCATATTTAGAGTCTGGTTCTAGAACAAGATCTTTATCGATTTTATTTTTTCTTAGATATGATATTAACAATGGAGCTCTACCCTTCTTCAATAATTGAATAATCTCATCAGACTGTTTCTCTTGAGTTGTTAGAGGTATTTCGACACTTGAGGACTTTGATTTCTTCTTTGGTTCTTTGGGATGAGTCTTTTCCTTGATAACAATTGGATTAGGTAAAGAAGTTATCTTTAGGTATGATAATTCACACCAGGATCTTTTTAATTCACCAACAGTTGGTCTACCTGTAGTAAATGGTAAATTTTTAATTCTAGCATCATTCTTTTGTAAGAAATCATCTTCAAAAAATATTCTACGATCAGATGCACTTCGAGCTCTAACGAAAATATTTTCACAATTATCTAAATATGGTTTCCAGTCTTTCAATAGACTCTGGACATCGGTTTTTAAAGCAGCTTCGTTATATCTACGAATACTGGAACCCGCTGAATTGGCCTTACCCTTTGCATTATCCATTGCAGATTGGGAACCACCTTGTTTTCTTCTTGTAGTATATCTATGGAAAGTCTTATGTTCTAAGAATAAAGTTGCTTGTTCCTGTTGTGAGACAGCCTGTTTTGTTAGATTTCCTTTAATGTTTAATCGTTGATGTGAAATAATTGCACCTGCAAAATGACCACCACCAATCATGAATATTGCAGAAAATTTGTTTGAAGTGGATTCTATATTTTGGCCCCACTGGGTTAAAGTCTCTAATGGTTTTTCTAATTGATCATTATTGAATAAGACCTTGTATGTTCCAAATACCGAATATTCTTTCTCGATTAGTTTCGACTTGAATAGAATATAGGGTGTTTGATTCATTAGATGACTTTCTCTCTTGTCATCTTCAGAAAATGGTGTAAATGAATTCAATTGAGTATCTAGTGTGGATGAGTTTTCCTTATAGATATCTTCCTCATCATTATCTTCCTCATCATTATCATCATCATCCTTGTCGGTTTCTCCTTCTCCTTCTCCTTCTTCTTCTTCATCATCCTCATTGGATTCGTTTTCTTCGACAATGGTATTTGTTTCATCGATATTTGACGTAGCAACAGTATCTTCTTCCTTTGGTAATTTTGATAAATCTGATACTGGTGATAAGCCATGGAATTTTCTCTTTAGATTCACCGTATGTAATTCCATTTGGTAATGAGATCTCTGTTGAATCGCATCCTGTAGATCAACATTACATGCATTACAATGTAAATTTGTAGTATTGATTCCATTATCATTAGTTTGAACAATTACAGATGACGGAGAGGTTGCTGTGGCTGTTTGTGGTTCGGTAGGTGAATGTGGTTCGCATACATTCAATCGATCATCGAAATATAACAATTGTAAAGAATCCAAAACTGGTTGAGATAATTGATAGACGTATGTATCATGTTTTTTAAAGGACATTATTTTTCTTTTTTTCTTTCTGTTGTTTGATATTACTACTTATTATTATTTCGTATATATTTAGTGATAATATCTGAAATAAAATAGTATAACTTTTCAATTATGTCGAGTGTTAAACCTTTTTTTGTTTTTAAAAATAAAAAAAGTTCATAAATTTCATCGAATTATGAAAGGAAAGGAAAAAATAGATAAATAAATCGAATGTATATAATAAGCGCGATGAGTAAAAAAAAAATATATCAATTATTTACAATATGAAAATATGTCATATATATATATATAGAGAGAGAGAGAGAGAGGTAAAGGGAGAAAAGCTATGCAGAACCATATTTATGACATTCTTCCAAAAAGAATCTAATCTTTTCAGTATCCATGAAAGGATGAGTACCATGACCAAAATTTACAATGTACTGTTTTTTATCTTTATTAAATGCGTCGATCATATATTTAACTTTTTCGGATATAATTTCATTAGAACCATATATGACACCTGGATCAATATTACCTTGTAAAGTACATCTATCATTATTTATCTTGACGGCATCATTTGGATCCCAAGACCAATCCAGAGATACACCATCATAGCCTAATGAACATAATTTATCTAAAGCATACCATGATCCCTTAGCAAAGACGATCATTGGAATATGATCTTTAATTCCTAGTTCTTTTAATCTTTTTGGCACACCTTCTACGATTTGTGTTAAGAAAGGTAATGAGAATTTATTGAAATCCATTGAAGATAATTCTCCACCCCAACTTTCAAATACTTGTAATACTTGAGCACCTGCTACGACTTGTTGAGCCAAGAATTCAATTGCAGTGTCTGTAATTTTTTGTAGAAGTTTTAATGATAATTCAGGTTTTTCATTAATTAATTGTTTAGCAAATCTAAATAATCTTGAACCACCACCTTCAGCCATATAGACTAAAAGAGTCCAAGGTCCCCCACAAAATCCGAATAAAGGAACTTTCCCATCTAATTGGAATCTAGTCATAGTTAAAGCTTTAAAAGCCCAATCTAAATCTTTTAGGACGTTAACCTCATAACTTAATATTTTATTAATATCATCTGTAGTTCTTAAAGGATTAGGAAAATGAGGTCCCTGACCATCAATCATTTCTACTGTCATTCCTAAAGCTTGAGGGATAACTAAGATATCACTAAATATAATTGCGGCGTCAATTAAACCTTCATAACGTAATACAGGTTGAATAGTTAATTCTGCTGCAATTTCAGGAGTTTGACATAGTTGAAAGAAATCTTTATCACCTTTTAAAGCTTTATATTCAGGTAAATATCTACCAGCTTGACGCATAATCCAACATGGTGGTCTTTCAACTTTTTCACCTTTTAAAGTACGTAATAAAAGATCGTTTTTCAATTTAGGGAATTCCATAATAGCAGATTGTTATGTATATATGTATTATATTGTATTATTATTTTTAAAATAAATAAATAACAATTATGATTTAGATAGACAAGAAATAATAATATATTTTGATACTTATTATCTTTCCATTATCTTTAATATATATTAAGAGAGAGAGACGTATTAAAAATCAAAGGGGATTGAAGGAAATCAAATATTGTAGATTGAATTTGTTTGGCCGACAAGAAAATTAAATTAAAAAAATAATGCTTATTATGATTATTAAATTAGGGAACGAGGGAGAATCATATTATACGACGCGAGGCTCTAAATAGAAAATAATAATACTAGTAATTATCATAAAGAAATCACATTTACGTTCACAACTTATAATACTTTTATATATATATATTAGAACATAAATTGATTTAACTAGAATAGGATCATATTCTTACATTTTTTTGCATAGTTGTTAACAACTTTATCAAATAATTATTAAAATAAAATCAATTACAGGACACCTTAAAATAATTTGTAAACGAAAAAGAGAAAACAAAATAAGGGTGGCCGGTATTTATATTTATGTTACCAATCAATAAAATACCTATCTAATCATTATCTATTGGTGTGTGCGTGAGAAATGTCTTTGAGTATTGGTCTTTAACTTTAATCATATCTATCTAATGATATAGTAATAGATAGATTGATAATGCTCCAATTTAATTGGTCCACCCCGCGCCTCAACTTATCAATCAATGCCTTCTTTGTAACTTTACTGCGTGAATTTAAGAAGAAAAAACAAAACAGCGCCGTCTTTAATGTCTTTCTTCATCTCCGCGGGCATTTGTGTTTTACGACTGTCTATAATTATTATGTATTAGCACCATTAATATGTGTCCAAATCAAAGAACTGAATTTGTGTGTGTGTGTATTGTGTTACAACTAAAGAACATTTGGGATAGCCGCTCCAGGCCGGTTCAAATAAAACTAATAATGAACGGATCCGGATCCGGATCGAATTTACTACGAGTCCTTTCTATTGAAAACGACATTTTAATTATTGAGGAAGCGGGGGCAGCGGAGGGCAGCGGAGGGCAGCGACACGGATTTCACCGTTTGCGCTTTGAAAATAGAAAACGTGACGAGCAACGTTACAAGCAAAATGACTCGAAATTCAATTTGAATTATCTCTGCACACAAAAATTAATTCAATTTCAGTTCAGTTCAAAACATGACTTATTAAACCTGCTTTGATCCCCTGTTCTCCTCTCTTTTCTCACTTTCACTTTCGTTTTCTTCTTTTTTCCATCCTTTCTGAGCGAGCGCGCACCCTCGCTCGTCTCTGTCTGTCTGCTTCAAATTTCTCGGCTCCATTCTCTATCAAAGAAGCGGATGATGATAGAGACAGAGCGAAAATGTGTGTGTGGAAGTAATGGAATGCTGTTGTTATTTGGAGTGTTTTGTACAGCATATTCACAATTGTTTTTATTCTTTTTTAAATTTGTTAGACCGGGAGAGGAAAAACTAAATATCTTCTCTCTTTATAATGGAAGCATCGTCATCTTCATTATGATCATCTAGAAAAATTTTCAACGTTATATAGACTTGGCTTTTATTTCTTATATATATATATATATATAATGGATTTAAAGGAAGAAGAAGGGTTTCATTGAATTATTAAAATTATATTACTAGTTACTTACTTTATTTATAAGTGCAATAATAATAAATAATTATTATTACCATTAAATAATATTAATTTTTAATATACTTTGGTAATTTTAGTGTTACAATAATATTAAGAAGAATAATGGAAGGAAATTCAAAAGGTGAGAAATCACCAGAATATATCCTAACAGATCTTTCTTCAAATAAAGATAATATTTCATTTCAACGTAGTGATGATGGACATTTAGAAGAATCAAAGACGGGCCTAGTTAATAGATTTGTCGATTCATTTAGAAGAGCTAAAGCACAACCAGGTGAAGATGAAACGAATGATTTAGAAGATGGTATACAAAGTCTCGCGTCAAATACTCAAATGAAAAAAGCAATGAAGTCTCGTCATGTTATTATGATGTCCTTAGGTACAGGTATTGGTACTGGTTTATTAGTCGCAAATGCTTCTTCTTTATCTAGATCTGGTCCTGCTCCTTTAGTTATTGCTTACGGTTTAGTCTCTTTCGTTACATATTTTATGATTCAAGCTGCAGGTGAAATGGCCGTCACTTATCCAACTTTGCCAGGTAACTTTAACTCATATCAATCTATCTTTATCTCAAAACCTTATGGTTTTGCCACTGTTTGGTTATTTTGTATTCAATGGGTTACTGTCTTACCATTAGAATTGATTACAACTTCATTAACTATTAAATATTGGAATGATAAAATTTCACCTGCTGTATTTGTGGTCATTTTCTACATTTTCTTATTATTTATTCATTTCTTTGGTGTTAAAGCTTATGGTGAAGCAGAATTTATTTTCAATTCTTGTAAAATTTTAATGGTTTGTGGGTTTATCATCTTTTCAATTGTTTTGAATTGTGGTGGTGCAGGTGATTCAGGTTATATTGGTGGTAAGTATTGGCATGATCCTGGTGCTTTCACGTCACATACTGGTATTGGTAGATTTAAAGGTATTTGTTATGTCCTTGTAACAGCTTATTTCTCCTATGGTGGTACTGAATTATATGTTTTATCAGTCAATGAACAAGAAAATCCAAGAAAATCTACCCCGGCTGCTGCAAAACAATCGATTTATCGTATTTTAATTATTTATCTATTAACTATGATTTTAATTGGTTTTAACGTTCCTCATAATTCTGATCAATTAATGGGTTCAGGTGGTTCTTCCACACATGCATCTCCTTATGTCTTGGCTGCTTCAATCCATCACGTTAAAGGTATTCCTCATATTATCAATGCAGTTATTCTAATATCTGTTGTCTCTGTCGCAAATTCTGCTTTATATGCAGCTCCAAGATTATTATGTTCGTTAGCTAAACAAGGTTACGCTCCAAAATATTTGGATTATGTTGATCGTGAAGGTAGACCTTTAAGAGCTTTATGTGCTTGTGCCGTCTTTGGTGTCATTGGTTTTGCTGCTGCATCTCAACAAGAAGAACAAGTGTTTACTTGGTTGGCTGCCATTGCAGGTCTTTCTGAATTATTCACATGGTCAGGTATTCTATTATCTCATTTTAGATTTAGATGTGCTATGGAAATTCAAGGTAGAGATCTTTCAGAATTGGGTTATAAATCAACAGTCGGGAAATGGGGGTCTCTATATGGTGTCTTCTTTAATATCCTTGTGTTTATTGCACAATTCTGGGTAGCTATTTCACCTCCAGGTGTATCCAAAATCACCGCTGAAGGGTTTTTCCAAAGTTATTTAGCTTTACCAATTTGGTTCGCAGGTTATTTCGGTTATATGTTTTATAAACGTGATTTCACATTCTTAACACCATTAGATAAAATCGATTTGGATAATCATAGAAGAATTTATGACCCTGATTTCTTAAGACAAGAAGATGAAGAAAATAAAGAAAGATTAAGAAATTCTGGTGTAACGGCAAGAATAATAAATTGGTGGTGTTAAGAAAGAAAAAATAAACAATATGTTTATTACCATCTACGCATTCGCAAAATCTTTAAATGAAAAAATAAAATAAAATAAGCAATAATTATTCCAAATTGTTGTTGTTTTTAGTTTTTGCATTTCGCATAATTCAATATTCTCATATGACGAACTTATGACCAACTTAATGGTGATTCGTCCATTATCATTTAAAAAAAATTATAATATAAAAAGTAAGGAAAAAAGAAAAACACGTATCGTGCACAAGAAGTTGTCGATACGCCAAGTTTTATAAGTTGTAATCTTTTTTTTTATATAGAAAAAGTTATCAATAAAATTAATATAATATAGCATTGTTTTTCTTTAGTTTTGTATTTATATCTTTGTTCTCTTATAAGAGTTCTCTTCTCAGCTGGCTGAAATTTTAATGATGTGTGTGTGCTATTTATTTGTTCGTTTCGCTTCGTTCCGTTCGATTCCCCATTTTTTTTTCACTTCAGACATTAAAAAAAAATTTAATTAGCTAGTATATACAGTTTAAAAAGAACATCATCGTCTTCACTCTTTTGCCCTCATCTTCGAAGCAATATATACATATACACATCCAAACAAGCAAGTCCCTATAATGCTATCATTCTGCCCACAATGTAACAATATGTTGCTAGTGGCACCCACTGATACGGGTGTCTACTCACTAACATGTAAATCATGTCCATATGAATTCCCCATCGATGATATAGAAATATATGATAGAAAGAAGTTACCAAGAAAGGAAGTCGATGATGTGCTTGGTGGTGGTTGGGATAATGTTGATCAAACAAAGGTGCAATGTCCTAACTATGATTCGTGTCATGGTGAGAGTGCGTATTTCTTCCAGTTGCAAATTAGATCTGCAGATGAACCTATGACTACTTTTTATAAATGTGTGAATTGTGGTAATAGATGGAAAGAAAATTGATGATTTCTTCTTATTAATTACGAGGATTCGGGATCCCAGGACGAATGAACAATAGTAGAGGATTCAAAACTATATTGTTCATTCAATTGATACATAGCATAATATAGTCTCAAATATGCCGCTGTTTTTTTTGATTCAGATAATTGTATAATAATAAATTTGTAGGCATAACATAATAATACAGTGTTTTTTTTTGTAAAGTCGACTTTATATTGTTATTGATATCAAATCTATACAAAACTATACTTATATATATATATGCAAGTAATATTTACTTTTGATGAAAGGGTAGGAAAATATCAATATACCCATAAATTGTCTGTTTAGTACAGGATAAATAAATAAGTCAAAAAAATACAACAAATATTGGGAAAAATGAAAAACAACCTAAATTATATTTTGTCTTGGATATTTTATTACTATCAAATTATAACACTATAACCAATTTCCCACTAGGGGACCAAATAGAAGAAGATTTTTCAGTATCAATTATTTGTTGGGTCATTAGTTGATAATCATTAAAGGGAGAGAAAAAGAAAGGAATAGAACATTATATAGTATTAAGAGACCACTATTTCAAACAGTGGAATCTTATTCTTCCATTTGTTTCCCTATTTGGCCCATTCTCTTGGGTTGCTGGTAGCTTCCAACAACTTGGCTTCTCTAGAACCTGGAGCAGGGTGGTGGTTGTAAATCCATGAAGCATGTTCTGGTAAGGACATCAAGATAGATTCAACTCTGGAACCTGGGGTTCTTAGACCAAATTGAGTACCTCTGTCGTAGATCAAGTTGTATTCAACGTATCTACCACGTCTAATCAATTGCCATTTCTTTTCTTCTTCGGTGTATGGCATGTCCTTTCTCTTCTTAATAATTGGCAAGTAAGATGGTAGGAAAGCATCGAAGGAATCTTCAACAATCTTTAGGATTTCCTTTGGATCCTTTTCGTTGAAATCGTCAAAGAAAGTACCACCAATACCTCTGGTTTCACCACGGTGCTTGATCAAATAGTATTCATCAGCCCATTTCTTCCATTTTGGATACAAAGAAGTGTCGTGTTTGTCAAGAGCTTGCTTGTGTAGAGTGTGGAAGTGCTCAGCATCTTCTTCGTAAAGGTAAGATGGAGTCAAATCAGCACCACCACCAAACCACCAGGTTTGTGGAGTACCATCTGCGTTCCAGGTTTCGAAGTATCTGTAGTTCAAATGAGTGGTTGGACAATGTGGGTTAAATGGATGAATAACCATACTTAGACCACAGGCAAAGAACTTGACACCTTCGGCAACTGGTAGACCAGTGCTTGGGTCGGTTGGTAGTTCCAAGTCAGCATGGTCGTTCTTCATAGCGACAACACCACCTGGAGTCAAATTACCGTAAACAACAGAAATGTTGACACCACCTTTTTCGAAAGTGGAACCGTTAGAGATAACCATGGATCTACCACCACCACCATCGTTACCACGTTGCCATTCATCTGGATGGAACTTGACAGTGTCGACAGATTCTAGACCTTCGGTAATTTCTTTTTGCTTACGACGGATTAGGGCTTCCATTTGTTCCCTAATTGGAAGATGGGTAGCATCGGTTGGAGCTGGCATTTTTGTTGTTTTTAATTTTTTTGTATGATTTAATTCTTCCTAATAATAAAAAAGAAAAAGAAAAACAATGTAAATAAAAAATAAGTGTTATCTATTGATAATTATTTTCCAATTGACCTGACAAACTTAAAACGATCGAAAATGATAGAATAAGTTGTTTCTTTTATACTGAAAGTAAGTTCGACGAATTACAGAGAAAAGTTGTTGAAAAAAAAAAGGGACAAACCGGGAACGAAGAAGAAAAACAGAAAACTACGAAAAGTGTAAGAAGCTAGTAGAAATGATTATATCAAGAAAAGAAGATAGAGCAAACCTTATGTAATTAGAAGTTCTTTTCACTTCCTTTATATACATATTTCTAAAACGATTCATTGTCGTATGAACTCGTTCCGTATAGGTTATCATTGAGGCGTTCCTGTATAAGGATCTTCATGAGGTGGGAAACAATAGAGGCCCAATAAATCGTTGTTGTTCGGGAAAAAGCTAACATAGACAGGTAAAATATGATCCATAATTGTATCAATTGTATTTATTATTATGTTTTTTCATACATTATCTTAGAGGATACCAGTTGAACATGATTGAGCCGGCAAAATGTAGACGCTAACGGAGACTGATACGAAACTTTAAAGAATTACTACTCTTTGCCTTGATACATTTCCTACTTGGTATTCACACTTAAAAAGGAGAAATTGTCCTACAGAGAAAACTGGAATTATATATATTATATATGTATAAATCACCTCTTATAAAATAAGTTACAGGAAGTCGCTTCTTGTTTATGCACTAACTTATAATAATTAACAATAATTGCGTAGTGTTTCTTACAAAATTAAATAAATATTGATACCAATTTTTCCTTCTGTTACTTTTGTTTGTATTTTTTTTGCGTTGCAATTTGTGGCTTATTGCTCCGCTGTTCGTTAAGAATACAATTATATATTTTTTAAATTTCATCTAACAGCTGATATATATTACCATAGAGTATTGTTTTGTAAAGTAGTTTCTATAGTTAATTTTGTTGTTACTTGTGGTTTTGTATGTAACGTTTTAGTAATTAAATAAGGTGGGATAGTTACTTAAAAATATATATTACTATGGTAATTTGTTGTATATGAACATACAATTTGTCTTTATTTTTTACCCCTGCTTTTCAACACTTTTTGGTACAGAATGGTTAATTACTGTATTCAATGATCAAAGAGGGGAGAAAAAGAAATAGTACTAATATAGATGTGTTCGACTTCTTGGTATATAGAAAAATAATTACATATTTATTATCTTTATTAGAAAGTGAACTTATCATTCCTCCATTCATGGGTTTGTTTCACTCATAAATGTATCATTTCTTTGCCTTTTAATAATTGGAATAAGATTGTTTCTATTATTTTTTTTCTGACTATATGGGAAAACATACATACGATACAATACAGATAGACCTTCAGAATCCTCTTCCTTCATCCCTTCGGAAGATAACAATAAATGTTGTTATTACTCTCTTATTATATGACTTGATTGACGGGATTGGCAGGCAACTAGTTAGTATAGGCAAGCTGCCAAAGTAAAATAAAAATTAAAAAAATAAAAAAGAGATAAATTACTTTTGTACAGTGAGTTCTTTGAAGGCAACTTAGTTCATTTGAATTTTCTTTTTTTTGTTTTTTTGGCTTCCCCTATATTTATTGTTTATACGTGACTATTCGTTTTTTCCTCGACTTGCGTTTTATAATTATTTTAATTTGTAAACATGAAGAAAAAGTTCACGCGAAATTTCGGAAGAAGGTATTCGGCTCATCAAAATTTATTAATTGATCACATTTTGGAAAACCTCGTATAATCGATTGGTACTTGTAAGTAGTTTTTTTTGTTGAACGACATTAATTATAAGATTAATTTTTTGTTCAAATATACGAGCTACCTGCACGATTAAATATATATGATACCCTTCGGTTATATTTGATAATAATGTCATGCGTTATAATTAACAAAAGTTATTTAGATGAGCGGAGCATCATTGTTTAATTGAACGACTATACGAGAGATTCATTCATCTCATCGACGATTCCTGTTTAAGAAATGTAGGCAATTCCGGTAAAAATGAAGGCAAATTATGTTCTCTTTTTTCTTGAAAATGGTTAATGTGAATATGCCTCTTTGACAATACATATAATAATATTTTTGCCAATAGAAGTTTTCCAAGCTTCAATTAAAAAATAGAATATTACGTGGATAAGAACCATCTTGTGAGGCAAATATTATTATGTATCTTATTCGATGTTTCGTTATTTTGAAGTTTTATCAATAGTTTTTTATTTCAAATTGAATAGTGTATTAAAAGTGGATATACAGAATATTTAGGAAATTCCGGCTTTACTGCGAATCATATAAAATAAAATATATCCATTTACTATTCAAGTATCATATTTCAAAGATAAATTATTATCTTTGTTACGTTTATAAGATTC